CCGTAGACTGACGCGGCAAAAAACATGTTTAACATCCAGTATAACGAACTCAGCTAAAACACTAAGTCCAGCTTGTTTATTTTCTGTTACTTACCGGGCTGGCTCTTCCAAATGACGGCTCACTTGACCGCGGTGCTCTTCCTCTGCTGCATCAGCCCCCACATGTTTTCGTCTCAAATGTTCACTTAGGGACGTCGTGCTTCCGTGCTATGCTAGATGGTTTTTGCATATTTTACAGGTCACCCGTCTTTTCAAGGCATCTTGAGTAAAGTGCTCCCATACTCGTGAGGTTTTTGTCCGGGGTTTCTCTTCAGTTTTGTCGCTTCTATTTTTCTTCCGTATTTCCTCTTGTTCCGCCATCTCTCACAGCAAGATGAGCGTCAGTAACGTGATACGTCATGAAAACCGAGGGCACTCATTGGCTCATTTCTTCTTCTACGGCTCCACTGGTAGATCAGTGGCTCATTACTGCCACACACTGGCGGCAAATTTAACAGCTTGTAACCGATGTCAGATTGTGGTAAAAATAGACTTTATGCGGTAAAATATGATTATTAAACAACTAATCGATGACTAAAAAAGTTGTTAACTATTTTAATAATCGATTATAATCGATTAAATCGATTAGTTGTTTCAGCTCTAGTAGAGGAGTTCGACCTGAGGATTCATGTACACTCAACTGTAGGCGGGGTCCTGGTTTGTGAGTGAAAAGTAGTAGCACGTCCAGGCTTGGGCCTGGGAGACCGGTGCAGGTTAGCAAACGTTTGCAGAGATTTAGTAGCCTCAACAGCACACTCCAGGGTTTGTTGGGTAGCAGGGCCAAACACTTGCCCTAGGATGACAGAGTGTGCAGAGTGTACCCCGGCAGAAGTCTGACAAGAGAGACTGAGCCAGCCACACCTGACGTTAAGTTATCGTAAGGGGTAGACCTCAACATGCCCAGTAACCTGGACATGAATGTAAAAAACCTGTAGCGAGACATCGCTCAGGTTTTGAGTAGCGTCATCAAGCCCTGCCACCTTCAAGGACTGAGAGAGGGCAAGAGCCGAGTGTGAAAAGGAGTTGCTCGGGCGAGCAATGCAAGCTGCTGTGTCGTAGCTCTTGGTAAGAAGCTCATCAGTGACCCTGCATTGAGGGCGAGGACAACGGGCACTTGGACAGGTAGCGTCAGCTGGGGCTACCCTTAGACTGGCAATAGCACTATCCACAGGTGACATATGCTCTGAGCCGTACTTGGATGCATCCTGCATAGAGCTAAGAGGTCTGCAATCTGCAGAGTCAGGGGTCCTCCCAACATCAGTGGAGTCCCTCAATGTAAAGTTGTTAGATCGGTACAGTAAATGCTGGCAACTGAGTGACCTTGAAAAAAGGGATAGTAATGTTTGCAGGAGAGTTATTAATGTCAAGTCTGGATCAGGCCACACACTGTTTCACAAAGGACAGATCAGGTCCAGTCTCTCAACCTTAGCAGACAAGACATAGTCCTTGCGTATCTTCTTAGCTGAGGGGATATCAGCATGTGAAGGTTAAGGGTGCTTTGACCCCTTCCCGGGGCAAGAGGCCAGGGTCCTTTGAGGCATTGTTTTCTCCACTGTGGCTAGCCATGTGTAACTCCTACCAAGCAGTTGCGAAACTACCAGCGAGAGCGATTAATCCAACAGGTAGTATAGAACCTTGGTACAATGCGAGAATGCAAAAAAGGACTGATTTCCGGTGGTGTGGGGTGTATATATAGACTGCTACCACGTCACCTGGGTTACGTCCAATGAGTGGCTTTGCTGGTATTTCCTCTAGAACTCTGTGCTGTACGCATGCGAATATCCAGTGCTTTGCACCGCCCTCTGATGGTCAGGAGGAATGAAATGGAACAACTATTTAACAGAGGTTTATATACAGACACTTCATGCGCAGTCTCAACTGGCACATCTGTACCAAGTGTATGTGGAATGCATAACCGTTTCCAGGCGCGCAGATAGGGTGGGGTTCGGGGGGAATCTGCCCCCCTCCCCCCCCCAGATTCAGATCGACCCCAATCTGTCCCCACACTAAGGCCAGAAAGAAAAAAATTTGGAGGTTAAGCGCTTAAAGCTCCTTTTTCCAATTGCATTGAATGCAGCAAAAGTGGTTGCTGCTAGGATGCAGGATGAAGCAACAATTACTGCATTTTTAAAAAGACCAATCTCTTTATTTATGCTTGTTGGTTATAGTTTCAGTACATTGTTGTCAGTGTTGGGACTTACTCATTATAAGCGCCAAAGCCTCATTGCTGACTTTAACAAGTCTCATCTACAAATATGATCCCTCATGAAGTTTCTACTTTACACCAGAAGATAGTGGAGATGTGTGCAACATGAAGAGCGCAAATATTATAGACTGACCATACGTCTTCTTTCCCCTGTACATGTCCACTTCGGGGGTTTTCCTACATTGATCAAAATGTCCGGTTTTTCATCCAGGAGCAGGGATCGAGTTATGGGGCTAGATATCTGTCAGGGAAAGATCCAGTTTCTGCCTATGTTACAATATTTATGGAATCTCAGCGTAGCGGGATGTTGTTGAGCAGAGAAGACGCAGAGCGCTGATCGTTGGTGCACCTGCTGCGTCCTGCACACCATACATTCTCAAGGTGGCGCAACAAAACTATTATTATTAACACATGATCGTTCATATCTGTTTAAATCCTCTGGTATTCTGTGTTTTAATTGTTCCTGACGCGCTCCGCTCGTCGTGTGCTGCGGTGATGTCACCTCACTGACGCAGCATCGAAACGCGCTCGTCGCTTTGCGGTCAGGAGATCCCTTTGATCTGCTCAGAAGTTACTGATGAGGTGAAAAAGTGAGAATCCAGGCAGCAGTTTTTCTGGAGAGTTTAGAGGAGATGCAGGAAGATGAGACAGACAGGACAGGAAATAGTTAAATAAAAACAAGAAAACAAAAAGTGTTTGGAAGTCAAATGTAGGTAGATTTATCTCCACTACACATTTTTACCAGTATAAAACAATAAGTTATACACATGTAATATTTATACATCTGATACAATTCAGATCACCTTCAAAACTCAGTCGCACACCAGGGCCGTTTCAAGGCATTTTGGGGGCCAAGGCAATACGTAAAAAAAGGGCAGATGGGGAAGTCAAAGTGTGCCACATAATCATAAAAATAAAAGTTAAATATAAAATTCAAAAAGCTTTATATATTTATATATAAATTTAAACTTTCCAAATATAATGGCACTTTCTAAATAACGTAAAAATAAGAAGGAACATCTGTTGGTCAGAGGCAGAAAAGTTTGGGATAAGTGATAAGTGAATATCGTTTTTTAAATATATGTGCAGTATTTTTTTACACAGGGCTTTTATGTTTTCTGTAAAGATTGTTATGCTGAAAATCAGTTAATGTTTAAATCAAACATGTTTTGCATAAAGCATGAGGTTTTGGTTAGAAATTGATGGGGAGAAAAACAAATGACTGACTTGAATAGTGTTGATCAGGCAGAGCTTTGTTGCCAGCGTTCCACTGCATAATGGCTTCAAACACATCTATAAAAGTGTTAGTTTTTACGTAAACCATTGGATGAAATTACTCAAACTCACTGAGCTCTAGTTAAGGCTCTTGCAATAGTTTGTGTACGTGCATGTGTGTGTGTATGTCTTTGGGGGGGGTACATTGTCCCCCCCCCCCCCCCCCCCCCGTTTGAAACCCCTATCTGCGCCCTTGACAGTTTCTTCCACTGACTGGTTTCAGTTATATAATCTTCTTCCCATCTGTGTTAACATTGTAAAGTCATCCAGTGACAAATGTTTAAACGTTTTTGATCTTGTGCATCACAGCCATGGGCTGAAGCTCCGTGATGCACAAGATGCTCACAAGATTTTCTCAGGATCCAGTTGCACGATTTTGATGGTTCGACCCCCGGATGGAACTTCTGAGCTGGTAGAATCACTTGCTGTCGAGTTATTTTTTCGGGTGGCTTTCGTAAACCAATCACAGGAGTAGATTTGCAGTAAGCCAGGAAATGGTGGAACTTGGCGTTGGATATTTGTAAACACCCTTCAACAGCTAGATATAGCTGATAAAAGTCCGGAATCAGCTCTATTTGATGGTCAGACAAAACAAGTAGATTTTTTTTATTACACAGATTTTTCAAAGGGTTAAACAATAGTCTGACACACACCAAACTGGCACATAAATGATCTTAGTCAACTTTTTATACTTTTTAATCATATTTATTTATTTAAAAATTATTTATAAATTTTTTTATTTTTGCTCTTGTGAAGCGCCTCGTGACTTTTATCTTGAGGCACTTCATAAAAGGTTGTTTCTTCTATAAACGGCTCAATTGGATTAAGGAAGAGACATGGGTTTTTCCTGCCAGCTACATCTTCTTGATGCATCGTCAGATCCACAAAAACTTTAATATGCTCCCTTGTGGATGACTGTTTAACGCATCGGTTCTATATATTTATATCATTGCCTCTCCAAAACAGGAATTGGGTAAAGCGTCCATTTACTAGCTCGGACTTTCAAGGCATTTTAAAGCAGTCCTAGTGGATCCTAAGAGCACTACAGAAAATTTTATTGGGGCTTGCCCATTGTACCCTCTAGTGGTGACATGTGGAATTGATCGCCAAACTCGGACACGTTTGGGTGGGTTGAGGTGTTAATAACTTGGTGGTACACAATGCTCATGGTCGCAACACTAGGCTCGAGCGTCGCCGACCCGCATTTGTTTATTTATTCATTCTTGGTCTGTAGTCCAAATTAAAACACAATTTTAGTTCAGTTTATGCCTTATGTCTTTGGCAGTGAACCAATGTTAGTTTCCTAACTAGGTCCCATCTGTTATCGAACATTAAGTGCGGTGGTCATGCTCAGCGTCTGCTGTAAGTGGTGATGATGCTTGGTTGTGACTGTTGGCAGAATCCCAGTATGCTTTTGTCAACAATTTGTAACAACCAAATAATCCAGTGTTTCTTATATTTGTTCCCTCTTTGTATTTAGGTTGGTTACAGAGTCTGGAGCAGTTCTGGGTGGCAGATCTGACTTTCTCCACTACCTTACTGGGACAGTTTCTGGAGGATATGGAGGCCTATGCAGAGGTGACCATAGCCATTTCCTAAAACGATTCCCAGCATGTGAAATGAAAAATATATAGCCAACTAGTCTCAGTCATTTTTGAGCTGCAATGGCAAATCTGCAAAACCAGCTCGCATTTAAACCAGCGGTCTCCGACGCACTTGAAAGTCACTCACCTGGAAGCACAGTAGCCACAGAGCCATCCCACCTGACTCCAAAAATGATGGCCTAATTAACAAGGGACAGCTTTGAAATTTGAAGGCAAGTCATCCCCATTTTCTGTAATCTAATCTAAAATTATTTTTTTTGGAAATAAAATAAACATCTGATCATTGCTCAAATCTTTCTACACAGAGTACTAGTCTAATTACTCACAGGCAGAGAGGCACATGAGAGGCGGGACTAGCCAGCTCAAAAATAATCAGTCAGAAAACAGGTGGAAATGCAGACTGTACCGCGCAACACTGTAGTCAAAAATGGCGTCTGGCGACGGCGCAAACATCTTTTTTTAGAAGAAAGGCTTTTAGCGCTTCTACTTGTGATTTTAAAGACACGTCCAAGTCATTTAGAACAGAGGAAAGAGCCGCAGCGAACTCCGCTTCAGACGCTGTCTTCGTTGTTTATGAGAAACTGAGGGTTGCAATGTGTGACATACGCTGCTCAGCGCTGATTGGCTCAGTTCAAATTCTCGGGGTGGAATAATTTGAATAAGAGTAATTCAGTCAGAAGGGAAACTGACACATAAATGTAGCTGCTGTCAGTGACAGTCTAACAGATTTAAAACATTAAAACTCTCAACAGACTAATAGTCCACAAAAGAAAAAAAAATCACAACTTTGTGTGTTGTGAGATTTATTATGTTTATTATATTTATTTATTATCCCCATCAGCTCCTAGTAGGCAGAGCGCAGTGTCATCCACCACAGATAAAGGCTGTTTTGGCAGGATGACTTTAATTAATTTTACAGGTTATTGCTGAGCTTTCTGGCGGTCACGCTCTCACGCACACACACACACACACGTGTTGACGAGTGGCTACGTTTGACTGTTGATGCTCCGTGTGTTTTTATTTCTGCAGTGAGCCAAACTTGCCTCACACCGCCCGGAGTTTGTTCTTTAAAACTCTTATTAAATCCACCATGCTGATGCTTTTCAAACGAGTTTCCTCTGTGCAGGAATTAAAGTTTATATCACAGAGAAAGTTTAACAGACGCGTATGTCTACGTTTTTGCCACTGCGCACCTGCGCATTGTGAGGGAAGGGAGGCAGACACTCAAGGTCTCTGTGGGCTGCAGAGTAGAAGCGACAGACAGCTGGCGTGATCAGCGCTGAAGAGTGCTGATCAAAATTAGCAGATCACGTTTTTTTTCCACAGAGATCGGCCACGGATTCTTATTCTGGTTGGCGTCCTGGTAATCGAAACTAGGAATTGAAATAAAAAATTAAATGATTCCGGTAAAAACTTAGTCCTGGTTCCGATCGATGCTTGATGCCCAACCCTACTTAGAGTTTTGTCTTTTCAACACATTTGGCTTGTGTTTTATTAAAAATGTCATACTTTTTTCATTTTGTCAGAATTTTTGTGTTGCTTTGGAAAAATAATCATAACACAACAATTACGTGAGAGGGTTTGCATTAAGGGACGTTTAAAGAACATAAAGAACGTTTTTGCTGTCCAGATATTTAAATAACGTTCAGATTTCAGTTTTCTGCTGTTTAGGATTGTTTTCTCTGTTCTTCACTTTTTGTGCTTTATTTACATTTTGGTGCTTTTTGCTTCTAAATCTTTCAAAACATTCAGCTCATTTTAACAGTTTTGCTTAGTTTCAGCTTAAGCAATTAGTTTCAGAATTCAGCATATGATGCTAATTTCACAGTCCAGCTAAATGTAAAAATTGAACTGTTAAACTAGTCCTACTGAAATAACAGGTGTTTAGACATTTTAGCTGTCCAATTTTTTAAACGGTGTTCACAGATTTGAGTTTTCTGCTATTTAGGATTAGTTTTCTTGATTCTTCACTTACTTTTTGTGCTTTTTTTGCTTCTTTGTGCTTTTTGCTTTCAGATCTTTCACTAAATTCAGCTCATTAACAGTTTAGCTTAGTTTCAGCTTGCTTCAGCTATTCAACAACTTCAGCAATCAGTGACCAAATTTTGCATAAATGCTAATTTCACAGTTCAGCTAAATGTAAAAATCAAACTGTTAAACTAGTCCTACTGAAATAACAGGTGTTTAGACATTTAAGCTGTCCAGATTTTTATACAATGTTCACATTTAAGTTTTTTTTTTGCTATTTAGCATTATTTTTCTCTATTCTTCACTTACTTTTTGTGCTTTATTTGCTTGTTGGTGCTTTTTGCTTCTACATCTTTCAAGACATTCAGCTCATTTTGACAGTTTTGCTTAGTTTCAGCTTCAGTTTAGCAGTTCAGCAGCTTCAGCTTACAGTTTCAGCTATCCAGCATTCAAACAGCATTTGTGCAATAAATGCAATTTTTCTAGTTTATTTTGAGTTTCAAAACAGGAATGTCACTATTTTCCTTTTACTTTTCTTTACAATGTTGATAAAATACATAGAAACCAACTTGTGAATACAATGCATGTTAATATAAGCTGTGTTTTCTCTGTTAACTTTATGGAACATGTTGCTGTAGAAGCATATTCACACCTGGAAAGTATAGATGTGAATAAATTGTATGGCAGTAGCTCTTCTGAATTTTCATTGTATAAAAGTAGCTCACAGGTCATAATAAGGTTGGAGACCTCTGATTAAATCACAGTAACAGAACTCTCACCCCGTTAGCATTCATCTTTAGGCCACGCCCCCGATATGGGAACACGCATTACCAGAGGAAACGAGACTGCGCTTAACACCAGTCATTGTTTTCTAGGGAGAGTAGTACTCTTCAAGCATCTTTGCTGTCCGTGACTTCAAATGGTGTTTTTCTTTTTGGGACTCTTAATAGTTTGTCCTAAAGTTGTAGCGGTAGCAGCCGCATGTTTCTCCATCTCTGATATTATTGAGCGGAGAACCTCTTACACCAGTGGTGTTCAGACAAATGTGAGAGAATCACTTAATTTTTTATTAATTTTTTTTATCTCTGCAGGATATTCATAACTATACAGTGGGATTCGAAAGTTTAAGAAGCCTTGTTAATCTTCATGATTTAAATGACAACAGTGCCCAAATGTATGCACCTGCCTAATTTTATTTAAACAATTATTGCACACTTTCTGTAAATCTATAAACTTCGGTTCACCTCTCAAATATCACTGTGTGTGTCTCCTATATTATATATTTGACCTATTTTTTTTATCATAACCAATGATTTATACAGAAAAATCATGAAGATTAACAATCTTTCACTTGTCTTGAGGACGTAAAAAATTGGATGACTCAAAACTTTCTGCTTTTAAATCAAGACAAGACTGAAGTTCTCATCTTTGGACCAGAAATCCAGAAAAAGAAACGGCTTAGTCAATCACCTGACCTGAACGGCATTAAATTAGTCTCAGAGAACAAAGTAAGGAACCTTGGTGTTATCTTTGACCAGGACATGTCATTCAAATCCCACGTTAATCAGGTCTGTAGGATTTCCTTCTTCCACCTTCGGAATATTGCTAAGATTAGAAGCATACTTTCCAGGAGTGATGCTGAAAAACTAGTTCATGCATTTATTACATCAAGACTGGATTGCTGTAATTCATTACTCTCAGGAAGTCCACAGAATGTAGTTAAAAGTCTTCAGCTTGTCCAAAATGCTGCAGCTAGAGTTCTGATGAGAATTAAAAAGAGAGATCATATCTCTCCTGTCTTAGCTTCCCTACATTGGCTACCTGTTAAATTCAGAATAGATTTTAAGATCCTCCTTCTCACATATAAAGCTCTTAATAATCAAGCTCCATCATACATCAGTGATCTGATTTTTCCATATGTTCCTAACCGAGCACTTCGCGCACGTGTGTGTGTGTGCGTGCGCGCTCTGTCTTCTCCATCCCCAGTGAGTCGTGGAGGATGGCTGCTTATACTGAGCCAGGATTCTCTGGAGGTTTCTTCCTGTTAAAAGGGAGTTTTCCTCTCCACTGTCGCTGCATGCTTGCTTAGTATGAGGATTGCTGTAAAGACTCTGACACTAGTCAGTGACTCGATGCAACCTGCTGGGTTCCTTATATAGGAAACTTTACTGATTGGCTTAATGAACTGACCTGTATTGGAATGTTTACTGTGTGAAGTGCCTTGATTTGGTGCTATTTAAATTAACTGAACTGAATTGTACAATGCTGCAACTTTAAGAGCTATGAACAAAATGTTTAAAGAGACAATGTGTAATTTTTATTATTAATTTCTGGAAATATCCATCTGGGCATTGCCATATTAGATGCCATGTTTCCTTCTACAGGAGCCCATGAGGAAAAAATGCATTTACTGATTCGTAACAAATGGTCACAAAACTTTCATCATTCTTAAATGTTGTTTTCCACATTTACCTCCACCTGTTGCCAGTGATGAAAGGGAGTCTGATGTGTTGTTATTTTGCTAGTTTGCACTCCCCAGGGCTTTTTGACCCTAATAGGCATCCCTTGGTAAGGTCTTATTCCAACACAAAAATTCTGCTTGCTTGCAACAATTTGGGTACCTACTGCCCCCTATTGCCAGGAAAAATGCACACTGCTACTTTAAACTAGTTTTATTTATTTATTTTGCAGATTTGCCTTTGTGGTTTTAATTAATTACAATAAAAAATCTTAATTTTGCAAGGACTCTTCCAGTATATGACGACCCTTTGACCTTGTCACCTCACTCCTTATGCTCTTCTTTAGGACCTGAGTCATGTGGTGTCAGGAGAAGTGCTAGATGAGGACATCCCCCCACCCTCAGTGTCACTGCCCAAGTTGGCAGCTCTGCTGAGGGTTTTCAGCACGGTTGTCCGCAGCATTGGAGAGCGATTCAGCCCTGTTAGAGGACCACCCATCACTGAAGTCTATGTGACTGATGTAAGAAACTCCAGAGACCTGGGTTAGGGGCTGGGGAGTGAGGTCCACATGTTGTAGTAGATGAGTGATGTGTGTACCACAGGAGATGTCCTTGTCTTTCAGGGTGTTTGGGTTAGAATGTTTCAGCTGATTCAGATCAATGTTTTTGTACATATCAGCAGTGTGACTGAGTTGAGACATTTTACAGCCCAACACCAACTTATCAGTTATCAGTCAGTCATTTTCTGTCGATATTTCAGACAGAGATATAATTTTGTTGCCACTTCTAACTTGGCTGTAAAAGTTGGTTGTTTTTAACATCTGTGTGCAACAATGTTCACGTGTGATTACAAGAATGTTTGAGTTTCTCTGTTCTTTTGTTTAAGGTTCTGAACAGAGTTCTAAGCTGTGTAACAACAGCAAAGCAAGTCCAGTTCTCAGAGGCGGTTCTGACAGCAGGAAACGAGTGTGTGGGGGTGTTGCTGGCCAGCGTAGAGCCATGTGGTCAGCTGATGGAGGCAGTTCTTGCTTATGGCCTGGACCAGCTGGACTGCTGCCAGGCCTGTGGTTCTGATTACAGCCTAGCTGTGCTCAGTCTTCTCACTCTGGTACAGTCACTTTCAGTGTTCTTATCACAACAGAGCTGCGATCCCTTAAAGACCAAGTTGACTGAGAAATAGTTTTAAACACATGTTCGGTCACTCTGAGGTGTTCATGCAGGCTGAACATGCGTCTGAGGAAGGAGTGACGTCTGAGGACTCTTTGTAACCGCCCATCTACACGTTCTAGAATCTGATTAGTCCAAAAACGATAAACAAGAATCTTTTAAAGGTTCAGTCATTTCCTCTAAAATACAGTTCCAGTCAGCTGTGCCAGTTTGGCCAAATTGTGTCAGCAGCATAAAGAACCATCCTTTTCATGGCGTAATAACTTCTTTGCTAAGCCTGCAAACAACTCCATCAGATGCAAACTTCATCTGACCGCCAGCAGACACCCGGGTTGTATGTCATCGGGCTAGCCGTACAAATTCAGACAAAGTTACGACCTTTGACATTCCAGAGGTAAACTCCTCTCGACAGTCTGACCGACTCGACTTCCTGCCAGCTGGACCTAACGAGAGCTCCCATCACAAGGGTAGTTGTAGTCTCTCACCTGGCCCTGGATGGTTTGTATTATGTATTTGATAACTTGTTAAACCTCGTTGAACATTCAGGTAGACTTCTTTTACAACCCAGACATCACACCTTTCTCAGACGCTTAAGAAACTTATTTCACTTAATGTGAAGTAAATATATTGAGCATTGATTTGTTAAAATACCAATAATAATATACTGAAAAATAGACATTATCAAATCAAGTAGTAGACTCATTTGGTGTTTTTAAGATCTGCAATCAGGAATTAAATAACTGTTGATTCATTCTGTACTGTGAAGCAGTCAGGGCATTATTAAATCACTTTAGATAACACATTCTTTGTAGATAAAACAGAACATGATTGTAATCAACTTGTAGAGTGAAAGAAATCATTTTATGAAACAGAATAAGCGTCATTTTGTTAAAAGAGTAAAGTCTCGTCATCTGGAGTAGACCTTGTAGCTTCCAGCACATAAGGGAGAGGGCTTACTCTTCCCAGTGCCAAAGTTAGGGAAGTTAAACAGGAGACTGTTCTGGTATGAAGACGCAGCATTCGTGGCAGAAGACACGGGCTGGACACTTGATGTGTGGCATCTGCCTGCTGGTAGGGCAGGTTGCTGACCTTGTTGACGTTCTCTAATGCTACACCACTGCAGATGTGTTGAAGAAAACAAGCAAACTTGGTCTTTAAACTGTTAAAATCTCTGTTTTCATGGAGCTGTCATCTGTTGCAGAGTTGTTGACAGGTGCTGTTGTTGAAGTTGTGGATGTCTTTTCAGATCGTGGACCAGGTAAACACAAAGCTGCCTGTGTCTTTTGTTGAAAAGTTACTGGCACCAAACTCTCAGCTGCTGAAGCTGCGCCTCCATTCAGAAAAAGAGGTGTGTATCCTTCATTTGATCCTCAGAGCGGTGTCGCAGGTTCCTAGACGATGTTTTCCCATCTTCTATGCTACGAGAGTAAACATTCTGGTAGAATCAAGTCAGAGTCCCATTGAATAATCAACTGAAACTGTGACGTTTGAACGTTGATTTTATTAAAATTTGATTTAATGACTTTAATGTCTGAGCCCTGCATTTACCTGGAGGATGAAAACACCCCAACCTAATTCTGCACTCGTCCGAAACGGTCTAGAAAATAGCTGTCTGATTCTAACCGGACTGCAAAGCATGCAGGTTTAACTTTTACTTACTTCAGAGGAAAGATCTCCAGGACGCTGTGCCATCTTCTTGTTCCTTCTCCTGGTTTGAAGCCTGCTTTTTCCAGTCAGAGAACCACTCTGCCATCTAGTGGTCATTTCTTATAACCCTTTGACTATGTTTTCATGGCTCATAAACACATATATGTCTAAATAAACAATTATGAAAAATTTAACGTAGGCCTATCTTTTAAAACTACAGGATCCTGAGATACAATATTTTTCAACAGAAAAACAGTTTTGTCCCTTCAACACAAGTTTAGACTAAATCCAAAAGAAATTCAAATTTCCCAGCTTCCACCCAGCATTCAAACGCACCATGTACGCACGAATCAGTCAGGTGAGGAAAGAGTCTCAGAAGTGTTTGTGTACTTGTAAACTGATCTGCGTGTACTGTAGTTTTGTCTGTGTGTACAAGGTGATTTCTGTGTGTGTGTGTGTGTGTGTGTGTGTGTGTGTGTGTGTGTGTGTGTGTGTGTGTGTGTGTGTGTGTGTGTGTGTGTGTGTGTGTGTGTGTGTGTGTGTGTGTGTGTGTGTGTGTGTGTGTGTGTGTGTATGTATGTATAGGAGCTGAAGTTGCACACAAAAATGTAAACGCAATTTACAAATCAAGAGCTACACATACCTATATCTATCTACACACACGCAGATCTACACACACACACATACACATCTTTAGTTACGCACACACAAATCTACATGCACACACACAAATCTACATACACACACACAAATCTAGATATACACACACACACACACACACACACACACACACACACACACACACACACACACACACACACACACACACACACACACACACACAAATCTAGATATATATACACAAACACACACAAATCTAGATATATACACACACACATACACTCACAAATCTACATACACACACATACACACAAATCTAGATATATATACACACACACACACACACCTAGATATATGCACGCACACACACACACACACACACACCCACCTACATACACACACACACACATACACACACCCACCTACATACACACACACATACACACACAAATCTACATACACACACTTACACTCACAAATCTACATACACACACATACACACACAAATCTACATACACACACTTACACTCACAAATCTACATACACACACATACACTCACAAATCTACATACACACACTTACACTCACAAATCTACATACACACACATACACTCACAAATCTACATACACACACTTACACTCACAAATCTACATACACACACATACACTCACAAATCTACATACACACACACACAAATCTAGATACATACACACACATAGATCTTTTGAGACTATTTTCTGCCCATACATCTATTTCTCATTCAAATTTAGAAAGGTCAAAGCCATCCATGATTAGATTTCGTCCAAGCATGCAGCTGTTTTGACGCTGTAACCATCCTTCCGTGTTAGGGGCAAATACAGCTGCAAGTCATCCGCGTAACAGCCGAATGTAATTTTATGCTTCCTGAAGATGGACCCCACAGGCAGCAGATGCAGACTAAAAAGCAGAGGTCCAAGTACTGAGCCCTGAGCAGGTCAGACAGATTGTTTGGAGCGCTATGCTGCAGGTCCTTAAACACTAGCATCTTAAAATTGACTATAAAACAAACTGGGAGCCAATGTAAAACAAATAAGCGGTGTTGTTAAAAGTCACAAAGGCTTTGAGTTTTCAACAAAACTGTCAATCATAAAGGCACAGATAGGAAAGAACCGATGGGAAAGACGAGTAGAGCTGATTTCTATAAAAACAGGAGGAAGTATGAAGGCACAATGATTTAGCCATTAGTTCTGTAGATGATCCATGCTTCTGGAGAGTGATAATTGAAAGTGTGTGTGCGTGTGTAGGTAATGTCTGCTGTACATGGAGTATATCAGGCCCTGCTGAGCATCAAAAACATTCCCACCCTGGAAGCAGCGTATAAGATGGTTCTAGGTGAGATGGCCTGTGCTCTGTCCAGCCTGAAGGAGAGCCTGAAACCCAGCGGCGGGACTCCTAGCAGTCCTTGCTCCAGTATCCAGCACCCAGCTTTTGCTTCTCTTATTCTGCCTGTGGAGAACGCCCAGTTCACCCTCATCTTCAACCTCAGTACCCTCACCACCATCGGAAACACCAAGAACTCTCTGATCGGGGTGGGTCTTTGTTCCGTACTAACTTTGGTGTTCATCACTAGCCATGCTAAGAGACTGGTTCAGCACATCAGTAGTGCATAAAAATATGGAAACCTTTCCTGAAGGATGACTTTTCCACTAATTATTCGTGTGTGTTTTTCTGTTCGAGCTAGATGTGGGCCTTGTCTCCCACAATCTTCACTCTCCTCAGTCACAATCTGATGCTGGTTCATGCAGAGTTAGCAGTCCACTACCCCGCCATTCAGTATGCTGTACTCTACTCCCTGTACTCGCACTGCACCAGGTAAAACACTACAACCGTATCGTACTTTCATGTGAAAGTGAAATGCAAAAGTTCATAGTTTGGTTATTTCAATCTTCCGGAGTCAAACTATTCGGTGATCAGGTGAGCACAAACATACAGGTAGGTGTTCTGAGAAGAAACCAGTAAGAATTAATGAAAGTACACATTTCTTAATGCAAAGCTAATTACAGGTTAATTTTATTGCTTGGATAAAACCGCGAGGTTCTGATTAATCATGAATAAAGAAACAGACTTAAAACATTCTTAGAAATGGCAGACATTGTTAGCCCTTGCTCAGAGAGGCTTTCTTTCATGAACGTTGTTTTAAAGTGTGAGAAAGCCACCAGTTAAGGTAATAGTTCTGTTGAGTTACGTCAACATATAAAAAAAAATCTGAGCTAATCTCAAAAGCCAGGCTCACTCTGAAAATCCCGGCTTAATTTCCCTAAATTCAGTTCCATGATTCAGGCTAACCTGAAGCCCCGCCCATTCACCATGGTGACATATGCTTGTGGACACACTTGCTCCATGGTATGCTCTGAATATGTTAAAATATTCTTAAAGGCACATTACAACTGGTAACATATATGCAAAAGGAAAGACTGTATTGATGCGACTAGTACGGATGCTCCACTCCCATCGTGTGATTGGAAATCAGGCATGATCGCGCGATGTTCAAATGATCTGAAGTAGGTGTTAGTTTCTGATGTCGTTTTTCTTCTAACCCTTTCTTTTGTTTGTTCCAGACACGATCATTTCATCTCATCCAGTTTGTCATCATCGTCTCCTTCTCTGTTTGACGGTGCTGTCATCAGCACTGTTACCACGGCAACAAAGAAACATTTTAGCACTTTGCTAAGCCTGTTGGGACATCTGCTGTCGAAGGAGCACGTTTACCCTGATGCTAGGTTGGTAAATACACTCTTGTCCAGTGGAAGAACTATTTCAGCTAAACAGCTCTCGGGTTAAGCAATGAAAAAGATGCTACAACTCTAAAAAATTTCATGGAAAATACGGTGGGTTGTTCTCGGTCGGTGGTGTAAACCTGAATCCACAAACAACCTTGTGCCAGAACACAAAATCCACTCCCAGTACAAAGTCTAAGTGGGACTTTACACTTGGACACATTTGTGACATGTGATGATTTAAAGCAGCATGGTGTCAAGCAGGTGAGGAGGAGGTGCTTCATCCAGGTGAGTAGACGGGGCTTCAGTCCAACATCCAGAGGAAAGTCAACATGGCAGCTTTAGGACATTGCTGGTTCCCTTATCAGCAGTGTGAGTAACAAAACCTCCAGGTCTATCTGAGCTTTGAGTCAGCTCAGAACGCCTAACTGCTGCCCTGAACGGGTCAGCTCTTTTTTAGAACACCCACGTCTGAGCAGCACACGCCCCCTAGTGACGAGACCAGCCGCTGGACTGGCAGCATCCTCTGACTTAAATCAGCAGGTGATTAATGGGCTTCTGCAGAGCTTTGTAAGCTGCTGAACAGGTGATTGCGGTATCTTGGAGCAGGGACATAACAAAACCACGAAAGGGTGCATGTTACTACCTACCATAGCGGAGAGGAATCAGAATCAGAATAGGTTTATTGCCATTGTCAGTGAACAAACAATTCACAAACTAGGAACTTGCTTCGGTACTAATGTGCTACATATAACATGAATAATAAGATAAAAAATAGAATAAAAAAACTTGAATAAAACTTTCAGCTATAAAAAAGGCAGGTAATGGTAACATGGCCGATAACATGACGTTGTGTCAAGTACAGAAGACGAGCATGGTTGTGTGTTTATAATCTATTCACAAGTCTAACGGCAGATGGAAAGAAGCTGTTCTTATGGCGGGAGGTTCTGGTCTGGATGGACCGTAACCTCCTGCCTGAGGGAAGCGGCTCAAAAAGTCTGTGACCCGGGTGAGAAGGGTCAGCTGCTATCCGGCCTGCATGCCCCCGAGTTCTGGAGACGTACAGGTCCTGGAGAGATGGAAGGCTGCAGCCAATCACCTTCTCAGCAGAGCGCACAATGCGCTGCAGTCTATGTTTGTCCCTCACTGTGGCTCCAGCGTACCACACAGTGATGGAGGAGGTGAGGATGGACTCAATGATGGCCGTGTAGAACTGCACCATCATCTGGGCCGGCAGCTTGACCTTTTTCAACTGCCGCAGAAAGTACATCCTCTGCTGGGCCTTTTTGAGCAGGGAGCTGATAGATGGCTCCCACCTAAGGTCATGTGTGATGGTGGTTCCGAGGAAGCTGAAGGAGTCCACAGTGGTGACGGGGGTGTCCGTCAGGACGAGGGGGAGAGATGGGGCTGTGACTTTCCTGAAGTCCACAATCATCTCCACTGTCTTCTGAGCATTGAGCTCCAGATTGTTGCTGCTGCACCAGTACACCAGCCGTTCCACCTCCCTCCTGTAGGCGGACTCATCACCGTCAGAGATGAGCCCGATGAGGGTGGTGTCGTCCGCAAACTTGATCAGTTTAACGGAGTCATGGCTCGAGGTGCAGCAGTTTGTGTACAGGGAGAAGAGCAGAGGAGAAAGTACACAGCCCTGTGGAGATCCTGTGCTAATTGTCTTAGTGGTGGAAACATTCTTCCCCAGCCGCACACACTGCCTACGGTCTGTCAGGAAGTCCGTGATCCACCTGCAGGTGGAATTGGGTACGTTGAGCATGGAGAGCTTGTCCTGGAGCAGAGCAGGGAGGATGGTGTTGAACGCAGAGCTGAAGTCCACAAACAGGATCCTAGCGTAGGTTCCCGGGGAGTCTAGGTGCTGCAGGATGAAGTGGAGGGCCAGGTTGATGGCGTCGTCTACAGATCTATTAGCTCTGTATGCGAACTGCAGAGGGTCCAGGAGGGGGGAGGTGAAGGACTTGAGATGAGGGAGGACCAGGCGCTCAAAAGACTTCATGACTACAGACGTCCATAGCGGAGAGGAACACTCTTGATTCAGTAATTCGGGTTACTAACGTACGTGTAAATGTATCATCACAAATATAAATATATGTATACTAAATTGGGGAATAATGAAAATATAAATGTCTCTTGAAAATGAAGGAAAACACAGTATCAGTGTGTGACTCGTTTCCTCACATGTCTGATCATCAAAGCAGAGCTTTTGGAGACGGTGGGAGAGAAGATGGAAACTACAGAGAACTTATTCTCTCTGAAACATTCAGAGTAATCTTTGTCATTGCTTTAGACAGCTGCAGCAACGAATGCATTAGCATGAAGGAAGTTCATTATTCTTCTCCTTAAGAGCACCAGAGGCACGAAAAACATCAAGTCATGGTTCATTAATAATCTTGTGATGAATCCCGACTACTAAAAAAGTCATTATTGGATTAAAATGTTTGCTCCTTTGATGGCCCTAGTTCTCAGGTATTGATTTGTATTTGAAGTGTTGGAAAAGTTTAAAAATGTGCTTTGATTAAGCGTGTGAGCCCTGAAGTTGACGTTGGCATGAATTAGTTTAGTTTTAGAGGATTGAAAGTGCATTTGCACCCATCGGTTATTGGTCATAAGTTGCCTTATTTTCTGGTTCTGTTTCAGGAAACTCCTGCTCACCTGGGCCCAGGAAATCTCTCTGCTCATGATGAAGTCCGACACCTACAGCCCGCTCTTCTCCCTGCCTTCTTTTAACAAGTTTTGCAGAGGCGTGCTGGATAATGGTGAGGACAACCTGATCACCAGAGAACTCTCCATTCCCTCCTTTCTACAGGTTTGTCTTTTATTCAAAGTGAAGAAAATGTTTCCTGTCTTTAGCTCATCATGAAGATCCAAGTGTCTGCCTTCAGAGCTGCCGCAGCTTACAGGTCCTCGCCATGTGTCTGTCCACTGAGGTCTTGCAGAGGTGAGGCTGGTTTCATCTGAAATGCTTTCAGGGCTGTGCGTCAGTCTGTCTGATATTGTGCTCATAACAGGAAGTACTGCAGTAGCGATTGTCTTGGTACTAAAGCGTGTGTGTGTGTGTGTGTGTGTGTGTGGTTTACATTGCTTTGTTAGGTGTGTGAACGTATGCAGAGTCCAGCTGGTCCACTCAGCAGTGAGAGTGAGGCAGGCCTTCTCCAAACTGCTTCGGATGATCCCACTGGACGTGGTTTTGAGGTCAGACTTCCTCGTCCATCCCTGATTGTTTTTGGTCAAATAGTTTAATGATAGTTTTGGCAACGGCATGTGTTTGTGCTTTATGGCAGTAACCACAGCCACGCAGAGATTAGAGAGATTTCTCTGGCCATCCGCCACCACATGAGTCGACCGCCGAGCAGCACCTTTCACCCCCAGGACTTTAGTGACCTCATCAGCTTCATCCTGTATGGAGTTCTGCACCGAGGAGGGTATGGTTCTGCCAACACCGTAATCAGCCACATGGATTTAAACCCGTCTCCTTCTACAGGGTCTGGGTAAACGTTTAATGGGCCATTCCCATCTGTACCGGGTCGGCCCGGGCCGGGTAGCCCCAGTCGGCCCCAGCCTGGCCCGGTTGATTCCACACATCCTTGTCTTAAGCCCATGTGGGCTGATTCTACCCACCAATCAGAGGCTTGCTCTAATGGAAGGTGTGAATTTGCTGTCAGCAGTGGGTGTGTTGGCCCTGGTCGGCCTGAAGCAGACCCCCTCCAGAAGAGGGCTGAGAATGAGCCTTGGTTGGCCCGGAAAAATACCAGGCCACCCAGATATGTAAACAACCTACTCTGTCCGGCCCGGGCCGACCCGGTACAGATGGGAATGGCCCATTAGTGTCTTTCTAGTGAATGTACCCTGGGGAACTATTTCACTCATCACCCTGGCTGATTAAAACCACACAAGCACTGAGACGAGAAGGTAGACGAGCCAAGAGGAAGTGGACATGTCTCTATGGATATTCTGAAACCTTATTTAACTGAGTGTCAGGCTGCCGTGACAACAACCAACTCCGTATGTTTTAACCTTCGTCTCATCCAACAACCACAGGTCCTTCCTAAGGTTTTAAATACCAGGTTCACCTGGTCAACAGGACCTGTGTCATGCTACTGAACCCTTCCAGAGCATTTGTTCTGAAAGACGTTCTTGAGACAATTTCTACTGGGGAATATGACACTTGGATTGGATAAAATCCTGCCTCCATCCTTGTGAATTCCACCCATTTTATGACGTAACCCTAGATCCTCTGCAGAGCATGATGGGCCATGAAGCAGAAGAGAGCAGTGGAAAAAAACATCCTGCTTTTAAACAAGAATGTTCTTACCATGTTGTGCTCACTGCTTTATTATTGCCAACATTCAGCTAGCACTTAGCATTTTGCTTGTAGTCACCGCCCTGGCCTTTGGGTGGTTTTAATGTTGGAATAGCGCCACTTTGAAGAATGAATCCATCTAAAAGGTGGTGGTGGTGAATGCTCTCTGAACTACAGGGTGTTCTTTTGACTGTCGTTCCCCCAGCTTGTTCAAGGCTTTTATACGTGGATCTTATTTTCTTTTTTAAATAAACATATCTCAGGGTTAGATGCCCAGAGTGCAAAAAATAAAATCAACATTATCACTCAAACTTTAAGATATGGGCCAGAGGCAAAATCACTTTGACGTGTGTAAAGAAGTATTAAAACCTCAGATGAAAAAGGTTTTTGGATTTTCGAGGCTGGAATTTTAAGAAAATTTGATGTTTTTTTTTTTTACTAGAGCGGTAAAAACAGAAACTAGTTTCCGGTCTAAGCCCTGGGCAGCTGGTGACGTTTCACAAGGAGGTCTGCAGAAACCGCTATAGAGCACAACCCCCGACTCCGGTGTTTCTGCGTTAGCGTTACAGAGAGCCTAAGTCACGCCCATCTACTTCCGGACCACGGGTCCCCATAAGAAAGAAAAAATGAACGCAAGTCAACGGGGCTAAAACCGCTATTTTCTAATTCAGCTTGTTACGTGCCATGGATTTCACATATGATGTCCGTGAATTTTAAAGACAAGTTTTGATACCAAGAACGCGCTTATTTTCAAACGGGGAAACACTATTTTAGGTTTTGTGTGAAAATAAGTCCAGGACTGCAAATGCGCTTCATCGAACCAGACGCGGAGAAAACGGAGGGAAAATGTCTGTAAGTTCAGCAAACTTCCCACAGGAGGAAAGAACCACCATAAATCTGGTCATGTGGTAAGTAGCAGCTGTGCTAGGGAAGAGGAGAGTATGTGGTGACATCACATATGCGACATGCCAATTTCTAGTTTGTCGTCATGCTAATTACGAACTTTTACAAGCTAATAAATCTCAAAGCACGTGACAGGCGTGGTCGAAACACCCATCATTACTTTTACAACATATGTGTGATCCAGGGCGTAAGACAAAGCGGATTAGAAATCAGCGTGTTTAGCCCCGTTGACTTGCATTCACTTTTTCCTTCTTCCGTGGACCCGTGAGCCGACCGGAAGGGGAGGAGACTTATACTCCCTATAGCAGAGAACAACCTCACTGCCTAAGGTGCAGACATGTTTTGGACCGTTTGACTCAGAAAACCCGCGACCTGATTTGAACACCAAGGAGGATTCTGTTCATCTTCAGAACCAAAATCAGTTCAGTTTGTTTACTCTTGTTCAATATTTCATGTCTGTGCTCTTTGCACTTCCACCGGGAGCTCTGAGCTGACAACAGGTCTTAGCTCCATCGTACTGTTCCAATATAATTCAGTAATCTACAGAAAAATAACATAATTTTAAACAGCTTGTTGCCATGGTTACGCATCATAACAAATGCTCAAAAAGTGAAAAAAGCTAAAAAAAAATAGCAGTTAAAATCCTCCAAGCTTCACAGCACCAGAAACAGAAAAGTAAAATGTCCAAAAAATACCATTTTTCTTGAGAAACTAGAAGAAAAAATGCCCAAGAAAAGGCAAAACTTGCATATAGTCAACAGAGCTACTCCAACATGCAGCCGCCCAGAGCAGCGCAGTTCCAGAAAAAACAGCCATGTGCTTCCTTGTGATTTTAATCATTTTCATATAGTCAAACCTCTTTACCTCAGCTCTGTCTTTGGTCCAGATGGGCGGTATCAACCAAGAAAAAACAGCTGGTTAAATTCTCAGATTGGGGTTGGTGTTATTGTGGGTCAGATTTCTTCTCCTAAGCGCCACATTTCTCTGTTCCCAGCAAAGAGCCGTGGCTGGAGCGCCTGTACTACAGCTGCCAGCGACTTGAGAAGCGGGATGGTCGTGGAAGTGCCGATGGCAGCAGGCCAGATGTGGTGTCCCAGGCGCTGCTGAAAACAGAGGTGGTGCTGTGGCAGTGGGCCGTTTGGGAAGCGGCTCAGTTTACTGTATTGTCAAAGCTTCGCACACCACTGGGTCGAGCCCAGGACACCTTCCAAACCATCGAAGGTAAACGCGCAGGCTTGGGTTTCAACTTACGTTTTTTTTCTATTCCAAATAAAAAGCGACAGATCGCAGATGTAAGCCTCGCTCGCCCGAGTCCCAGTCCGACTGACCAGAAACTCAAACTCTGATAATTGGCAGCATCCCTGTTATGCTAATATGCACCAGCATTGGTGCTTCCAGTGTTGTGGTTGCACCCTATTACCGTACATGTTAGTCACTTTAAGCCTTTGAACATTTAATTTTTGAATAAAATGTTCATGATTGCAGTCTATGGCTTTAGCTCTGCCTTTGCGCAGTATTTTCCATGTTGCACATATGTTTTGCTACTTTGCTGGGAAAACAAGGCAGACCTGGAACTTGCACCCAAATGTTCTACAAGTTTTCTTTCTGATCTTTGGTTTAAGGGATGATTAGGAGCCTGGCTGCTCACAGCCTGAACCCAGAACAGGACCTTGGAGCATGGGCTGGAAGTGGAAGTGATGGTGATGGTCACCACTCAAATCAGCTCCGCCTCAGTCTGCTGCTTCAGTACCTGGAGAACTTGGAGAAGCTGATGTACAACGCTTACGAAGGCTGTGCCAACGCTCTCACTGCTCCCCCAAAGGTGCGCTAAAACCAAAAACAGACCGCACCTGGTTGATCATGAAATCATTTCAACTAATTCAAACAGGCATCATTATCTCACAAGTCACAATAATGTCGGGAGTGTTTACCACAGTGGTTCCCAAAGGCACGGTGCCAGATCAAAGCTAGCGCTCAGGGCCTCACACCCGCAATCTAAGCGCTGCGTTTAAACCTCGATTCATTCTACTGGTAACTTACAGATTAAGAGAAAGAATGTTTATTTTTGCCAAAGTAACAGCAAATTAGACAACTTTTCTAATGAAATTTGGTGTTGAATAATGCATTAACCTTTTACTTGTATCATCATCAAACTTTTAGAACATACAAGGGCAATTTTGGTGAAAGAAATCTCTCAAAAACCTATGTCAATAAAAATAAAACAACTATGGCTTCTTTTATCACAAACAAAATCCTCAAAACTCATTTTAATATTGTCAAATATTTGTAATAAATGATAAACAGCAAGAATGGAGAACACACAAACTGGTGTTAAAAGTAAAAAAACCTTTGAATTCAACAATAATTTTATTATTCTGACTATTACTACCCCGCTAACAATAAGACAAAAGAACTGTTTACTCACAGCCAGCGTTGACCCCCTCCCTTTGCCGGTGCAACTCCTGCACGTGGCTAACATTTTCTTGTGCAACAAAAGGAGGTCCAGGAGAAAAGGTTTGGGGACGACTGGTTTACCAGACTTTAGGTAGTGACGTTTAAACGAACTGGTTGTACTACATACACATTATTAAAAAGATAAATAAGGTATATTGTAGTACTTTTTTATATTCATTTCTTTCAGCATTTATAAAAGTTGTTCAAATATGTCATTGAAATAATTTATCTGTTTGATTTGATTCCTGGAGATTAACTTCATGCCCTAGCTTAGTGCTTGATGTGTGGGGTTTGACCCCTACTTTGGGAACCACTGAATTATGTAGTAAAAGATCTTGTCTGTCTCTCAGGGCATTAAGACGTTCTTCCACACAAACCGTCAGACCTGCCAAGACTGGCTGACAAGGATCCGACTGGCTCTGATGAGGGTTGGCCTTCTCTCTGGCCAGCCTGCAGTGACTGTACGCCATGGTTTCGACCTGCTCACAGAGTTCAAGAGCAGCAGCACACAGGTTAGACACCAACTCTAAGTTAGCTATTGGGAAAGTTTACAAGGTGTTTAAAGATTATGTCCTGAAAAGAAACAACTAAAATGAAACGTGAATGTTTTACTAAGATCTTTGCTGCTTACCTACTGATACGAGCTGATGTTTCGTGAGGGGGCCTGACAACCCGTGAGGTCAGATCCATTCAAGTCCTGCTTCCCTGTAGAGAACCAGTCTGCAAGCGGGAGACGCTTGATTAGAAATTAGTTTTATCTTTCTTAGTGTATTAACATTCACCCCTCTCCCTCTGAGGCCATTTTAATAAGACACATTGTGTCGGCAAGTCTTCATAATACTGCCACCGTGGTGTTATGAATGCGCCAGGCGGCATGGCGATTTGGGAATGTTGCGACATTCACTCCGCCCAGCTTGGTAGTAATTTTACGGCAAAGCCTAAATTGAGAATGGATATTTCGCCGTGGAACAACAGAGGGTGTCTCATGATCACGTGGGGAGTTACCGGCGAACTCCGGCCGGCAACTATAGTGAAAATGAAAGTAAACGCAGCCAAAAAAACGTGATCTGCTAATTTTGATCAGCACCTTTCAGAATTGATCACACCAGCTGTCTGTCGCTTCTACTCTGCAGCCCGCAGAGACCCTGAGAGCAGCCTCGGGTCCCCCTCCTTACCCTCACAATGTGCAGGCGCACAGTGGCCAAAATGTAAGCAAACACGTTTGCTGAACTTTCTCCGTTATTTATACTTTAAATTCCATCCATCCCTCCCTCCCTCCCTCCCTCCCTCCATCCATCCATCCATCCATCCATCCATCCCTCCCTCCCTTATCTGGAGTCGGGTCGCGGGGGCAGCAGCCTAAGTCGACTTCCCTCTCCTCAGCCACTTGAGCCAGCTCCTCCGGGGGAATCCCAAGGCGTTCCCTGGCCAGGTGAGAGACATAGTCCCTCCACCGTGTCCTGGTCTACCTTTAGGTCTTCTCCTGGTTGGACGTGCCCAGAAAACCTCACCAGGGAGGCGTCCAGGAGTCATCCTGACCAGATGCCTGAGCCATCTCAACTGGCTCCTCTCAATGTGGAGGAGCTGCAAATCTACTCCGAGCCCCTCCCGGATGACCGAGCTTCTCACCCTATCTCTAAGGGAGAGCCCAGCCACTCTTAGGAGAAAACTCATTTCGGGCGCTTGTATCTGCGATCTTGTTCTTTCGGTCACTACCCAAAGCTCATGACCATAGGTGAGGGTAGGAACGTATGATCATGCATTTGACAGTGGTGTGTTCTAAAAGGACAACGTAGAACAAAACAACATAAACTATTGAATATGATATCAAGGGATTGAAGACATGTAACTGTAGAGGTCTGGTAAATTATATCAGCATAATCCAAAATCAGAAACAGAAGTTGAGTCATCCTACGCTTCCTTACTGAAAGGTCAAAACAGTTGATGGATTGGTATAGGGTTTTCAAGCAGCCTTTAACTTTGAGAGATTTTCTGAATGTGGATTTTAAAGGATAAATCAGGTTCTAAGCAAACCCCCAAGTATTTAAGTTTGTCAGAAGAGAGCTCCTTTGAAGAGTCCAAAAAATGTTTTATCTCTGGAGGAGCATAGAATATGATTTAGATTTGTTGAGAAGTTTAGTCTGAACAATGCTGTACCTTGTTAAAATTAAGCTGAAGGATCTCCTGAATTTCCAATTTGTTAGCTTTAGAACAGTATAAAATAGTGCCATCAGCGAAATGAATCGAACAAGAGGTACAACAGAGAAGTAGTTCATTTATTGAAATTGAAAATGATAAAGGCCCAAGTGAGGATCCTTGAGGAATTCCCCTAACGACTCCCTTACTTATAGGCATATAAACCCCCGGTGGAGCATGCTCTCGAGCTCTGAATAGTATTCACCGCAGCCGGGGGAAGACTTTCAGCTAACAGGTTGGACCTTTCAGTAGGCAGGCCTGCAGCTTTCACAGGTGTGGACAAGGGTGCAACACCTCCCCTTGAGCCAGAGACAGAAGGTACTGTCTGGTGGGTAGCCTCCAATCATCAGATTGATGGCCTCTGGGTACCAAGACTACGCTACTTCTCAACACTCGTCTTACTCAGTTTACTCAGCAATTTGCTGACTTTGAAGCCCATAAATAAATATTAACTGCTCAGTAATCTGTTTGCTGCTGACATGGAAAGCGCACCAACCAACTTCTAGACCGGATGATTCAACTCCAGTGTAGCAGCACGCGCCAGTCAGTCTGACTCTGTGACTGTTCTCCCCGACACACTGACCCAACTGTGTGGTCAAGCTGCTCAAATGCTCTCCATGTTCAGCAGCACAAACCTATGTGAGCAAAGGTTGTCTGTGATGAAGATGAACAAAACAACACAAGAGCCTCACTGATGAACTTAGTTCCTCAGCTCAGAGCCTAAGCCTGGAGATGCAGGTGTCTGGCTGGAACAGGTGAGCATCACGGTAAATCAGAGTGGAGCAAACTGAGCTTGAATTATTCTGGTTTTTCTGCACTTTTTCATCTCCAAAGCATGAAAGTTGATAGGTGAGATATTGCATTTTAATAAAAGAGGATTACAATTTATCGTATTTCTGTTGTTGGCCTGTGAAAATAGATTTAACCTACTTCAAAACAGGAACTGGAAAGATTACAGATAGATGAACAGAATAGAAATAGAATGCCTTAATTGTCCCTCAGTGGGGAAAGCTTAGTGTCACAGGAGCAGAAAAGAAGAGTGAAAAATAAGAATAAAGAGTAAACAAGGATACATAAAACAGAAAAACTTAAAAGATTCAAAATTTTTAAAAAAAATGCTGTGTATATATCCACAATTTAAAGAGTGAAAATAAAAAGGTAACGAATACCACCGGTGTGCTTAATTAAGTCGATTTGCTCGTGTGTTATTTGGTTATTCCACATTCAGTGTTGCTGCAAAAATAAGTGTGTTTACAAATGGAAAAGTTCAACAGTAAATATTTGTAGATAAAGGAAAATGTGCACATTTGCCGTCACTTTTTGAAAATTAATGACTTGGGCCCGCGACTTTGTCCCAGTTTTTCAATTTGGCCCAGTGGGAATTTTCGTTGACACCCCTGCCATAGCCGGTTCAGAAGGGAGGAAAAAAACAACAAAGCCAGACCCCCTTCTGTGCTGGCGCAGGAGCTGGACAGTCCACTTCCATCTTCTCAGCTGCTCCTCTGCAGAAAACGCGTGTTCTCTAAAGTCGGGAGTTAAAGCAGCGGTAGCGTTGTCCGAGGTAAGGAGAGCATCCTCGTCGTCCAGGAGGTCTTGACTGTCGACGCAAATGTCTAGCACGTCTTCCATGTTCTCCTCAGGAGGGAGAAACAGGGAAGCTTCCAGGTCAGGCTCAGCTAGTCTGTCTGCCACCTCCATTTGATCTGCCCTGCTAGTAGCGGGGACATCGATCGTGAGGCCATCCTCGTTTGAACCGGGCGAAGCCGGTTGAGCCAACTCGGGGAGCATGGGGTCATGCTGCGAAAACGTAGGTTCCCCCATGAGGTGCTGGAGGAATTTCACACGCTGTTGTTGTGGTTATTAGCCAACAAATAATTTGTAAGCTTTACTTACCCTTTGGATTCATCAATAAAATTCATAAATATGGAAATATTTACCGATTTATTACGTAATTAGGATATCCGTGGATATGCCTCGGGGCACCACCCCTTTTTATAGGGGAAAAATGAATCCAAACCTCTATCAATCTGTCTAAAGTTCGTAAAATTCTTTTAACGAGCAGCGGTCATATTCTATCCAACACAGACAAATTCACTTGAGACAAAACTTAATTGGCATTAGCATTTATTGACTAATATAATCACCTTAGCTCCTTCAAAGCGTTAGCCAATCAATATCAACCAACTGATTTTATCAAACAAACAACAAGCAATGAAACCATGGAATGATAATGTGAAGTAACAATCTAATCAGACCGGTGGGGTGAGATGGTTATGTGATCAGCAATGGTGAGGCTGCTTGATGATGTAACCAGGCAGAGTTAGGCTGATTACCAAACTGGAGGGAGTTTCGAAAACATAATGGCGAATCCTTTGTTTGGCTGACCAAAGGATCGAACTGTGTGTGCAGGGTCCGAAATCAACACTCGCCACTCGCCAAATGCGAGTAAATTGCTCCATTTGGCGAGTAAATTTTTGAGCTCTACCTGCCACCTGGCAGGTAAATGTTTGCACCAAATTAGTTATGTTTATCAGTCATCTTCCACGGACTTCTGATACTCCTCCCTCCTGCATGCAACTTACACAAACGTACACGAAACGTGAACGCCGCACCCAACGGCATTTCCACCTATCCCATTCAATCAGTTTATCAAGTTAGCAGTTAGCTTCGTGTTAAAACTAGTGGTGAAATGTGGCGGTTTTTAACTGGAGTCAGCCAGCCTTCCAAAAGAAAACTCGTCGAACTGAAAGAAAAACCACCAGGACCAGTGGCAACCAGAAGATTTTGTGAAAAGTGGCGACCTGGAGATGGCGGAGTCGTAAGACAATGGCTACATTATGATGGCCACGTAGCGTTGCTGCCTTTCACAGACAACTGGCCCTCGGCATTCTTCAAATATCCAAAAAATGCCCATACTTTGTCTTCTTTGAGGGATAATAAATGTCCCGAGTGCTGCCGTCTCCTCCTGCCATTATTTCAGCTTTAGATTAAAGAAAGTTTTGGTCGTAAACAACAAAGTGCGCATGTGCCGCCGGCAACTTCCAGCAGATGATACGGTGGCTGGTAAGGGTCACCGCGCCTACACCGCAGCCACGGTAATCCACCGAGATAATATATTTATATTTTTTTAAACAAGACTGTTATTATTTATTGTCAACTTTTTTACCGGGGTTTACTGCTACACCGGTTACCGTGACAACCCTAGCCCTGACACACTTTCAGATATTCTCATGGTGCAGCTGTGTTCTCCAGAGATCAAGGACTATGACCCAAATGAGGCTGTAATGCTTTGGCACAAAGACGGTGTCAGAAGCAGGAGGCCAGACTTCATGGACAGAGAAAACAAGGAGTCTGACTAGATTTCAATGAAAGAGTTCATAAAAACATCTCTAAAAATAAATAAATAAATAGTAAAAATGACAAAAGAGTTGTTTTCCTTATTAATTGATGTTTTAATTATTTTGTCACTCTGTTTGGAATCAACATAATATAGAATTACATGCTTTAGGTAGATCTAAATCATTTATAATTTTGGCCGGTAAAAAATATGCTTGGCCGGTAGATTTTCATCATCTACCGGCCAACTTGGCCGGTGAGTAAAAAATTTAATTTCGGACCCTGTGTGTGTGTGTATGTGTGGAATTTAGCTTGTCTTCCCAAACACGCACAATCAGTGGGTGTAGAACCCTGATAACACGCGTAATTGACGGTGTGAGCAAACGTTCACAGTAAACTTAATCAAAACACTTCAAATCGCTTCACAAAGATCAAGAAAAAAAAACAACAGATCAGTCATAAAGGCAAATTACATATCTAAACAGTCTGTCAGCCTGGCCACAGCATAAACAAACTTAGATATTAAACAATAAAAGAGACGAAGCTTACTTCGAGATGGTCCGTTGATGCTTTTGGTGCGGAAGAGAGAGACCGTCTGTTAATTTAAAGCAGTCACGTGGTCGACCGCTTGTTTGGACTATTAGAGAAGCGGGAGAGAAAGAGAGATATAAAAAAAGAAATCTTGAATGAACGAACACAAGGCGTCCCTCTCTGTCCGGGGCTGAGCAGATCAGATGGCGTTGGTCCGTTGATCTCAGCAGCTAGGCCTCATGCACACGCTGTCTGGAGCGGTAGGAGCAGAGGAGGGGGGGTCTCCTTACACCAGATGAACTGGACGGGAAGAGAGTGAGTTCCGCTCTGCGCCTCAGCTTTATAGACTCGTCCAGCGGGCGGTCTCTGTATGGGCCGGTATCCACTGGCTGGTCAGACTTGGCATCGCGTGATGACATCATCAAGCTGCTGCCGGCTGCAGAGGATCATGGGACATGGAGTCCCTGCTGGCGCTGATATCAATATGCTTTATTGTCTACGCTTCAGGGCGTAGATGGCATAGTCCTTTGGAGAAAATACTGCATAGTAATTTCCTCATGAGGGCAGGACCCCAACACTGTTCAAATGTGGGGCGGCGGAGGTTGCCACAGAACTCGCAAGGGTCCGAAAGTGCTCTCCTAGCATGCAGAATTTCCAGGCAGACAGGACAGGCTTCGTGCAGATCCTTCTCATGGAGAGAAAACCCGCAGCCCTGAGGACATGGACGTGAAGGAGGCTTTTGGTTACCTGGTTCCGACACGGTGCTCATGATGAGAAAAGTGAAGCACAAAGGCGAAAAAAGCTGAAGAGCCATGAAAAGGTTGTGCTCAGTGGGCAAAATGTCAGCCAGAGGGCAGCAGAGAAGCACCAGCGAGCAGTTAAGATGGCTAATAAAGCTAATAAAGATGTGTTTTCAGCAAGGTGAAGAGCATTAGGACATAGGAACGGTGGTGTTGCTGTTGCTTTTAAGTGGAGGGCGGGAGCCTCCACACAGCTCATTTTCCTTTACAGACGTAATTCGATGTGTTTTCAGACAAGCCACACGAGGGCGTGGTGGCCCATAGTACCTTCGTTGTACCGAGTGAAGTCTTTTTGTTTCTTTCTTGAAATCTTGTTTTTGTCTAAATGAAGGTGATATTGTTCATATAATTAAAACGTATGTAAAAGTTCAGATTATTTCATCAAGTAAGACGTGTGGTTAGGCGGCTCACTTAAAACTCTTTAATGTTTTTGGATCCTGCCACTTGAAAGAATCTGAATCAGGAATCGATAGGAACAGGAACCAGAATCGAAACAAGGTTTTGGAATTGAAATCGTTCAAATTCAAGCAATGCCCAACCCTAGTTATGTCCAAGTTATGTTTGTGACCGCGCAGAGACCGCCCCATATCTTTGGTACACGGGACTCGATTGTGCCACATTACTGTCATGGTCTGAACACTTATAAACACCTAAAAGGAAGTGACGCCACCAACACCGGCGATCTCTGATGAAGGCTAGAGATACTAGCAGAAACATGTCGGGTAAAAAATATTTTTTTACTAAACTGTGTAAAAAAAAATGGATAAGGAAGATAAACACTGAATGAATGTACAAAAGAGACCTAAAGCTCCTAGTTGCCAGTTAAGCTTTGCGGCAAATTGGCGGCATTGTTTTGTAAAAGAGGCCTATTATTCACCAAGACATGAGCCAGTGAGCTGCGTTCAAAACAAACTACTTCCTGTTTTGGCTTGTCCCTTTGAGCATATAACCAGTCTGCAATAAGTCCCAGTTTGTTACTAATGCCGCTTACACATTAGCGTCAGTACGGTCGGGGGAGGATGGCATCAGTTCCGTCTCGAACGGGCGGTGTAGTCTTCACATATATAGTTCTGAAGGACTTTGAGGATGCATAAATCCCCGAGCCTGTGGACGGTGTTTATTGTTAACAACACCTAACAATTTTATAACCAGGGGAAACCTCGTATGTTGTTTTACTCCCAGAAACGGACATTTTCTCACTTTAAGTCTGAAACCACGTGATCGGGACCAATTTCCGATCACGTAATTGGGTCTGGGCCTCCCTAGTTGTAACAAATGGAAAGGTTTCTGAAATGAGATATGTGACTCAAGTGTTTCCTGGTTGCATGGTTTCTGGGGTCAGCAGGCTGCAGAGCTGGAGATCCCTCTGGCGTTGCTGGTTGAGGCTCTGTGTGAGCTGCGCTGTCCTGAAGCCATCCAGGGTCTAGCAGCCTGGAGCCTCCTCATCTCTGGCAAGAGTCTGGGCTGGCTGACATCGGTAGCTCTGCAGGCTGAAGGACGGTACGGACGTTCGCATCGCTCACATGCAAAATAATAAACGCCATATGTTACGCTTTTAACACTTTTGCCTTGCACTTTTGTGTGTGTGTGTGTGTGCGTGTGCATATGTAGGTTTGAGAAAGCAGCTTTGGAGTATCAGGACCAGCTCTCTGCAGTAACTGGGATGGACTGCAGCATCAAAAACGTTGAAAGCTGCCTGCTGAAACTTTCCAACAACACAAGCAGCCCTAAACACGCCAGTAATGGTAATCTGCTCCACCTCAGGGTTAACGATGTTTTGATTTGTCTTGATTTGCTCAGTGGGAAACCTTGCTTTAATATTTAGAGGAGAAATGTTCAGTAAGATCATCTTTATCAAGTACAATCTCTTGGTGTTCCTCTGACTAGGAGACAACAGGAAGACAGTGCTGCTAAAGTCAACTGACTGCTCTCCTGAGGTGGTGAACTTCTTGGCTAACAAGGCCTGTCAGTGTTACAGCTCACTTTGCGATTGGGCCTCGGTGAAAGAGTGGCAGGCCACCATCAGTACCCTCAAACAAAGCTCCACAAATCCTGTCAACATCAACCTGAGGGCAGATTTTAATTACATCCAGGCTCTGAGCCGCTTTGAGGAGGGAGACCTGACAGAATGTGGAGCCCAGCTGGAGCTCCTTCCTGGGGAGGACTACAGCTTCATCTCCAACAGCAAGGACAAACTTGGTAGGTGTGGATAAGAAGGTTCTTGTTGATTTGTACGAAGATACTGAAGTTTTTCCAACGAAACCAATAGTGTCTGTTTGTTTGTGCATGCCGTTTTCAGATCTGAAGAAGCTTCTTCCCTGCTTGAGTCCAGATCCTGCTGAGCTGCAGAGAGCCATTGAGGTGCAGCTCCTTCGCAGTGCCGTTAGCTCCATGGTGAAAACGGGTGAGCAGCAGGAGCAGAGGACTACATCCGGTTCAGAGTAAGGAGGATGTCTCATGCTGATGTTTGTTTGAGCATTTTACAGTTATGTCCAAAATGGTCCACATCGTTCTGTGTAGGGATGTCCCGATCCCATCACTTGATTGGAAATCTGTCCCGATCACATGGTTTCAGACTCGGATCGGGCGCCATGTCCCGATCTGGACTCGGGTACAGGGTTCAAATTACAGGAACCTGGTTCTCCTGACAGGTTGTCGGGCTCCCCTGAAGCTCTCAACTTACACACCCAGAGGGAGCCCAAATAAAGATCCAGTTTTTACCTATTTTATATTATTTATGGACTCTCCGCGTAGCTGGGATTCTTTTGAGCAGAGAGCTGATTATTCGTGCGCTCCAGGCAGCTGCTTTCTGAGCACGGCCACAGTAACATTCTCAAAGTGGCAAAACCCAGAAACTATATAATTAACACACGATCGTTCATGTCCGTTCATATTCTCTCTGGTCACGTCTGTATTTTATTCGAATCTGACTCTGATTGACCGGACGTGCTCTGCCGCTCATCACCGGTGGTCTCCGTCACTCGCACGGCCAAGCAACACAGCGCACACTCTGCCATTCTTGTGGTCAGTAGAGCCATTTGTTCTATTAGTTAAAAGTAACCTGTGAGGTGAAAAATGAGGAAGCAGGCAGCAGTTTTTCTGGAGGACTGAAAGGAGATGCAGGACGATCAGAGACGGACAGGACAGGAAAACAAAAACCAAGAAAACAAAACAAATGGGTCGCATTTAAGGGAACGTTGTCCTGAAGATGTTCCGGCCCAGAAAATCTGACCAATATTGCTAAAAAGCATTTAACTTGATGAGTGAGGCCAATATAAAATCAAAAAATTTTGTGTGTGTGTGTGTGTGTGTGTGCGTGTGTGTGCGTGCGTGTGTGTGTGTGTGCGTGCTCCAATAGCAGTTCACTGATGCAGTTATTGACTTCTGTCCTGGATCTGTTTGCTAATTCTGCCTGACAGCATGTTTGTGAGAAGCACGGTTCTGGTTGGATTGGGCCACACAGCCGTTTTAAGTGGACAATATTTCAATCATTTGTTGAATGTTAATAGTGTTAATATACTACACAACTACATAGTCATGTAATAAAGGTAACAGCAAAAAAAGAAGAGTTCACTGAGCTGAATCGATATATCGGATAGAATCGAGTCCTATTGTGATAATCAATTCTAATTCTTGAGAATCGGAATTGAATTGATTCTATAAATTTAAATCGATACCCAGCTCTAGTTGTTAAATGTTAAAATAAGGTAATTAAATAAAAAATAAGGAACACTGGATCTGTTTCTTCGCTTTCTTTATTCTTGTGTAATGTAATGTCCATCGAAAGTGTCGGATCGGGCTTTGGTATCGGCAGGTTCTCAAAATCAAATGACTCGGACTTGAGGGTATAAAACCCTGATCGGGACATCCCTAGTTCTGTGTTCAAGTTTTGATGTTCCTGAAATTTTCACTGACCTCCAGCTTTGACCTCTTTGGCTTTTCTCTACTTTTAGAGCAACACTGTTGCGTTTTCATGAACAGCTCCTGTTTTATCACTTATTTAACGTTAACCGCAGATCAAAAGTTAGAAATTGGGCAGGTTCACTGAGAGTTTGTTTTCAACTTGTTGTGTTTGGAATACGATTGGTAACTGAACATGAAAATAGTCTCCTACACCTATATCTGCATTTACTTTTGATAGAAAACAGACGGTGAAACCCTAGGATTGAAAAAGCCTGACAGATCTACGTCACACTGTCACTTAACATTCATGCGCTCACCCATCTAGAGTCACGACGTGGAAGGCTGTAGAACGTCACAATTAGTAGAAGCTAACTGTTGGCATTGGCAATTCCACCACACAGCAGAACTCCTCGAGGAGATAAAACATCAACGATGCAGAGCGAACAGTCAGTGGTAGTCGTATTGCTTCTATCCAATCAGAGCAGAGATGTCCAAAAATCAGGAAGTAAGACGCTACATCCTGTAGTTTTCTACTCCTCTTTCATCTTGGCTCACTTCTACTTCCTGAAGCAGGAGTGCCAGAGCTTTTTTCCCCACATGGTTCAACTCAGAAGGCATTAATTTATACTAGAGACCACTGCAGAGCTGTTGGAATTGAAATTCATAGCATGACATATCTTTTTACGTTAAGACTTAAACACTTTTTGTCTTCCATAGGTTGAACTATGTTTCCATGTTTACCCTTTAACCTTTGTTAGCATCCTATTTGCTCCTGTTGTGTATTGCTGCCAACATTTCCCCACTGAGGGACAAAAGGGATTTTCCTGTCTTTACTTATGTGCATGTACACTTGTTCTGTGTTTCTTCCCTGACTCCGTTTGTACGGCGTTGCAGTACTTTGGTGCGTTGCTTGAAACAGACCGGAAGGATCTGCCTTGGCCCGCTCCGTCTGTCGACGCTGACTCTCTCCGACGCCCTGCCCACTCTTCCTACGCTGCAGCTCCACTGTGCTTTCGCCCTGGAAAACACACTTATGGGACAGGATGTACGTACAAACACACACTTCGTTTGTATCCATGTAGTGAAAATTCAGTCACACAAAGACTTTCAGGTACAGTTCTGTCACGATTCTACGTACAAGTTTGGTTCTGAAATGAAAGATTTTTTAAAACTGGCGTCTTCTTTGAAGTTTGTGAAGAGCAATAATCCTCTTTTGTTCTGGTTGGTCTGTGATCTGATGTTTCCCGGAACAAGCAGAAGGGAGAAAACCAAATGAATCAATGGAAACCAGACGCAAACCAGGGTTGTGACCATGTGTCTTTGTTGTTGTTTGTTAAACAGGACTCCTTCATCCCTCTCAGCAGTGAGGCTTTAAACTCGTGTAAGCAACAGGATGTTCAGCTCTTTCTCCAGGCTCTCAGATACTCCATGTTCCAAAGACAACTACTCCACAGACTCAAAGGTACTTATTTACTCATTCGCTGCCAGCGTTTCTCACCGTTTTTACTGTTTTTAAGAGTCACAGAACGTTGCGCGCTAGGATGATGTCGACGCCAAAACAACCAAAACAAAGCGGAGACTCACCTCTTACATCGGGATGAATCCGCGCGTTTCGAGCGTTATCCGTTCTTTCATAATCTGTTGTTGAATTGTGATCGGCAGAAGCTTTTCCGGTTCGCGCCTCACTTTTTTTTTTACAGCAGCGGCCCAAAACGATCTCCAAACACATGGATGTACGAAGATAGATTTGTAGATCATGTGACTTAAGAGAGCATCAGACACATGCCGAGTATCCTCTACTGCAGGGATTCCCAAAGTGTGGTGCACGCACCCCCAGGGGTGCGTGAGCTGCCGCTAGGGGTTGCGCGAGGTGAAAAGTGTAATGGCTGCAGAGCTCAGAGAAGTTTGTCATGTGTCACCATTATTGTAGCCAGAAACTCATTTGTGGGTGGGCCAAAGAAAAAGTAAGTGGGCCCAATAAATGTAATTGAAAACATGTATATTTGTGCGCGTGTCCTCCACATGTGCCCTAGCTTCATAATAACAATGCGCCGAGTTTCAGCACTCTGGCCTGCGCACGCTGATATGTTCTGTATTTGATCATTTTTAACGGTGTTTGAGAAATCTGAAGGTGGTGAGTCATTCTGGCAGATTGTAATTAACACCTGTCTCATGCAGGTGTTCTGACGTTGTAAACCTCACACACAGAACATTGTGGATGTAACTAAATAAATCAATGATGAAGATCTGAAGTTCAGAGTGCGTCTGTCAGAGGTCAGACGCGTTCCAGCGGATCCACGGCTCACGGGTGCACATGTGAGCACATCTGGGCTGGGCAGAAGTTATTTTACAACATTGGTTTAAATAGCGCCAAATAACGAGACGCGGTGACTGGAGCGGCTCATGGAGTTGTGCCGCACACACACACACACACACACACACACACACACAGATTCAATAAGTGCACGCTGCGCAAACTCCGGCGCGCCGTCAGACTGAAGACAGAAATGAGCGCTGCCTCCTCTGTGATAAAAACTTTTAAGAGGTTTTATAACATTTTTCATTCCAGGTCAAATTAAGATATTAGCTTCTATTTTGGGATGACGTATTAAAGTCGGGTCCGCTCCAGCCAGTGACTCCTCATGAACCTGACAACAACGCATGTTGCTGCAGCATTTGTTATTCCAGTCCGCGTGGCAGCGGATCGCAGATTCAGCCACACCATAAAACAGCAATAAGTCGGTCTGAGGCAAAAGTGAACCTCATGGCTATATCTTGTCCCCTATAGACATTTGATTACGCACAAGTAGGTGATCAGCTCAGGTTTACGCAGAGCAGAAGGAAGGAGAGCGCTCTGGCCGCACAGGTTAAACGTTCCTACTTTAAGAAAACCATTAAATTGCATTGTTTATGTGCTACCTGGGCACTCTAAATATTTATTTAAAATTAAATCAAAGGAATTGTGACGGTATCGAATGTTTACTAATTACTATTTCAAAAATGAAAGTGATGGGGAAAAAGGTCGATCATATTTTTTTAACCCTGTCTGTTTAGCTTGATGCCTGAGATATATATATATATATATATATATATATATATATATATATATATATATATATATATATATATATATATATATAGCCATGCCCTGATGTGGGGGCTGGGGGTGCGTCGACATGGTCGTGACCTAGAAGGGGGTGCGTGGCTAAATAAGTTTGGGAACCACTGCTCTACCGTATGGCATGTTTTATTTATTAAACATTGTGTTATAATTACTATTGGTGGTGGCTAACATAAGGCAGAACCCACTCCAGTATCTGAACCAGACTATTTATCTCAACAGACAACTGTTGGGTCAGTGCCGCGTTTTGAGACATGTCCACCTTTGTTCTTGCCCAGGTTACTCTTCCTCCATCGATGGCCATCTTTTGGAGGTTTGTCTGACTGCTGCCAAGTTTGCTCGCAAGAAAGGCAACATAGCTCTAGCGTCTCGGCTTCTCAGTCAGTGCAGCGATGGGACGCACGAGCAGAAGCAGCAAGATGGGCTGAGTCAGACCTTCAAGCGTCTCACCCTGGAGGGCACTATGGGAGAGAAATGGGGGCCAGAGGTTCAGATAGAAAAGGCTAAAGTCCTGAGAACAGCAGGTGAGGAGCAGGCTACTGCTGTCTGCATGTGCTCGTTAGTTTTTAATCACGTCTGCTTTTAGCTCAGTTTGTGCTTTCTGTCTTCATACGCTGATGGTGATGAGCTCACACACACTCAGGAACACCAGAACGTGTTACCAGCTTGTCTTGAGCAACAGTTGACATGTTCTGGGATGTTTCACACCAGCATGTGTTCAGCCGCACTTCGGCTTGTTTTAGATGAAACGAGCTTTTCGGGCTGGACGATACAGAAAAATAGTATATCGATAAAAAAACTCATGTTCAATATCCATCTTATTGAAAATGAATTTGAAAATAGTAGAAAATATATTTTACGTGCAGCGCTGGTCAATTCATTTTTCGGTATTTTTATTTTTTTCTCCGCCTCGTCTCGCGGCGACATCTCGCTGCCTCATGCTCTGTTTTGTTTTGTTTCTTTGTGACGTAGCGTGCCCGAGTTTGTGGTTTTGACTGGTTAGGAGCAAGTAGTGAGTCTAGTATGCTGCTACCTGATAGGTTATAATGAAAAAAGGAAACTTTTTTATCGTTTTTTGTTTTATCGCACCACATACCTATGGGTAGAAATATTGAACTATCGTCCAGCCGTACGAGCGTTCTTAAAGTCAACTCAGAGTCGAGAAGCTGGTCAGAAACGCTGAATGGTTGTTTTCCCATCAGTAACAAAAACATTTAACAATCTTTGTTGTGGGTGGATTAAGAATAAAGCATTAGTGTTTCTCCTGCAGATGCGTGTGTTAGCGCCTGGTCACCATGACAACGCACTTTCCCCCGCCAGTTATTGCTTCATTCTTTCTCTTAAGTGCGGTGTACAAGGCTGTTCGGGGTGGGCCCCACTGACCCTCTGCTGACCTCAGAAGGACGATGTGTGCTCTGCCGCAGCAGTTGAAGAACAGTAGGGTTTTCACCCGCCAGCACAGGTCGTTGTTGCAGACCTGGAAATGTGCCACGGGTGTGAATTTCACATCTGTGGACCAAACAAAAATGATGCAGACAAATGGAATTGTTTTAAACGTTTATTTCTGTGAAAAGTGTTTCTCACCTAGCCCCAATCTGTCTGACCTCTGTTTTAATACAGCAAGCATTTTCCCAAATAAGGTCTCGTTTCTGTTGCTGACGGCGATTCTCCAAATTGTATATCCTGTAAGCTTTCTAAACATCTTCAGATGGATGTTATTCAGCAGGGATAAGTGTGCTCGTTAACTTTCTGTAAATGAACTGTTGTTGATCCACAGGCCAGGCACTGACAGCCATGGAGATGCTGAGCAGGGCTGCGCTGTCCTATTGCCGTGTGGGGAAGAATGAAAGTGCTGCCTGCCGATCTTTGCTGACTCTCTGCAAGTGGTTGCTTGCTGACTGGAAAGACATGACACCTCAACTTAAACAGGCAAGAGTTTATTAGAAACATTACGAGAGGCCTTATTTAGAAAATGTTGCTGCGCTGTGTAGTTTCTAGAGAATGCTGCAAAGAGCACACCATGAGGCCATTAGAGGAAGTACAGTTGGCACATTATGCACTCCCATGATATCAAAGTGAAATGTAATAATCTACGTAACCACACACGGTGTATGAGTCGTCTTCACTTGTCTAGAATGTTCTGGTGCTGATCTGTGATTGGGAGTTGCTCACAGCGGACTTGTTTGTTTTGGTGCAGGGGCTGCAGTACCCAGATTGACCACACGATGTCACTGTAACTTCATACACTTAAAAAAATTACTGCCATTTCATTTTTTACCTAAATTAAAATGGTCCTTCCCTGAAACCCCATTTTAAAAATATTTTTCTGATTATAAACAGTCACTGAGTTTTTCATGCAGGCTGAACATATAGTCTCCTACACCTATCTCCTGCATTAGCTTCTGATAGAAAATAAATGATGAAACTCTAGGATTAGAAGAGGTAACATGCCAGGCTCAAGTATGATTGGATCTGGGATCAGGAAGAGTTAAGGGGGCGCTGTTTGAAAAAAGAAAACTTGCCATTCCCCCAGTAGCTGAAAAGGTCATGGACTCACCCATCTTGACTCACAGCTGTTGTTGGTTTGGCGTCCAGGAAACAGCAGAGGTTGTCATGATTAGTAGAAGCTGTTAGCATTAGCTACTCCACCACACAGCAGAACTTCTCCAGGTTTGTGTTATTTGTGAAGATAAAACATCAGTGTTGCAGAGCAAACTGAGTCGGTGGTAGAGTCGTGTTGCTGTTAGCCAATCAGAGGAGCGATGCCCAAATATCAGGAAATTTGACTCATCTGAAGCTCAGCTCTGATGTGACTCACTTCTAGTTCCTGAAACAGGTGCACTGGAGTTTTTTTTACCCCCCCTCAAGTATGACTTCCAAGGCATTTTTCTGACTAGAGACTTCTGCAGATGTATTATAATATGAGTAAAGAACCACTTTAAATAATATTGAAACCTGTGAGCTTGCTGCTATGGTGTTATACGGAGCCTAATGCCTGGGGCACGCCGGAGATGAAAGTGCAGCGCTTTTGAGAAGTCAAGTGGTCACACATGATGCACCACTGAGCGCTTGTTGGAAAATCGCGCGATGGTCACAGCATCACGTAGGACTTGAGAACAGGAAGCGGAAAGTGACTCTTGTTTGTACGTGATCAGACTTGCCGTCATGTTTTGAGACTAATTAAAAATGGGTAAATACGCTATTTATTAGAATATTTTAAGATCAATAGTACTTGAAAGTTATCAATACTGCGGTTGGGTTTGTGCCGTAAAGCCATTCTGCGTCATAAGGTCTGTTGTAAAGTACTCCACAGTGTTGCAAACAGCAGCAGCGCTTGAGATCGAACCGGTGCCTATCTTCAACGCCTCGGCGTGGCGCTGCGCTCCCTGTGTTTGCACTTTCACTACTCATTAACTATAATGGCTTCTAGTGTGGCTCTGCGCATCTGTCTCCAGTTTCCCCAGGCTTAATTCTCCTCCCCTTCCAGTCGGCTCACGGCTCCCCGGAAAAACGGAAAAATGAATGCAAGTCAACAAGGCTAAAAGAGCCAGTTTGTAATCCGCTTTGCTTTACGCCCTGGATCGTACATATGTTGTACTGCAATTTAAATGAAAAGTAATGATGTGTGTTTCAACCACGCCTGTCATGTACTTTGAGATTTATCAGCTTGTGGAAGTTTGCTGTTGGCGTGACTACAAATCAGACGTCCGTACATCGTCACCACGTAATCTCCTCTCCCCTAGCGTAGCTGCTACTCACCACATGACCAGATTTATGGTGGTGGTGTTCCTCCTGAAGGAAGGATTTCAAGTTTGCTGACCTTACGGCCCTTTTCCCTCCGTTTTCTCCGTCTCTGGTTCGATGACATCACTTTCATGATGCGCATTTGTAGTCATGGACTTTTTTTCACACAAAACCTAAAATAACTTTTCCCCTGTTTGAAAATAAGCACTTCCTTGGTATCAGAATGCATCTTTAAAATTCACGGACATCGTATGTGAAATCCATGGTACGTAACAAGCGGCATTAGAAACAGACTTTTAGCCCCGTTGACTTGTTTAACGTTCTTCTGGGAACCCATGGTCCAGAGGTAGAGGAGCGTGACTTAAACTCCCTGTTAAGGCAGTGATGTGTTATTGTAGGTAGTGAAGAAGTCTGGAGGGGTCAACTCCTGTGCTACAGCCAACTCTTCACCTCTAAGCCGGAACATCTCTGCTCTCCTGGACCTTCCTCTGGAGGACCAGGGCAATCCCCACATCACCGCAGAGACATCAGGTAGAAACACATTTGACCAATAAGACACCTTGATGTGAAAGCATCTCCGCTTTCATATGTAGTCAAAGACACGACCTTTCAGAGTCTTTGTAGCCTGAAGGTGTTAAGGTAGTCAGACTGGGTCTGGCCACATCTTCATGCTGGTGCTTCTGCTTCCACAGTGAATGTGGGCGTTGGAGAACCAGACTTTGTGCTGGGCCAGCTCTATCAGCTTTCAGCCAGCCTGGCTCCAGAAGTAGCTAAGTCCTGGGCAGCTTTGGCTAGCTGGGCATACCGCTGGGGCCGGAAGGTGGTGGACAACGCCAGGTTAGTGACGTCCCTGGAGTTGCACCTGTGTCATCCGGCTGCAACAGCTGACCCTATTCTACAGAGGTGTGGACTCGAGTCACATGACTTGGGCTCGAGTCATTATTTTAATGACTTCTGACATGACTTGATAAAATCTATAAAGACTTGGGACTTGACTCTGACTTGAACGCCAACGACATGCAACTTGAGTTGACTTCCATCTGTTGACTTGATGATGACTTGAGCATATTTGATATTTTAGCACAAAAGTGACACGACATGGACAAAAATCATAAACCATTCTTGGTTCTGGGTTAGATCTTGCTCTGCTAAATGCAGCAGCTCTTTGTTTAGAATCAACTTCAGTTGAACTTCCTGCTTGTTTGAGCAAATAAACGAAGCTTTAAGAAGCTTTATTTCTGGGATTTATTTATTATCATCGTCGGACAGTAGATGACTTGAAAATTCAAATTTTAGGACTTGGACTTGACTGGAAAGGCTTGTGACTTGCAAAGCAGTGACTTGGTCACTCCTCTGCTAGTCTGTTGTCTTGGCTGATAAATGAAGTGCTTCTTTTCTAATTGGTGTAGTTAATGGTCAGGATTTATTTCTCTGAACTCCAGCCAGGGGGAGGGATTGCCTCTACTTCCAGGAGAAAAGAAGGAGGTTGAGGATCTGCTGCCAGCGACCACCAGCGAAGAAGACAAGGACATCATCTTCAGCATTTTAGGACAGGCCATGTGTCGTCCAACAGGCATACAGGTACGGGCCAAGCTATCCCCTCTGGTTCTAGCCCAGCAAAGAGCAAGTACAGGACTGAGCTGCCGTTCCCGACAGGCTGTCAGAACCATGAACAAGCTTGATTCGGGGTCCTTTAATTCAGTTTTACTGAAACGTTTTCTGAACACTTGTTTCTGTTACGATGAGACAGAACTGGGGTGGTCATGAAGCTAAACCCAGTAGCTACTCTGTACCCATCAGGCATGTCCTGATTGTGTTCGTTTCTCCTGCTCTGATGCAGACCACAACGTCAGAGTAGCAGGACCCCATAAACAAACTAACCTGTTGATTTACTCTTTAATGAAGAATGTTGGTTTTATAAAGGGCTTTGAATGCAGGTCAGCTGACAAACCCGTGTCAACAACAAGCCTTTTGACTCATAGCTGTTGACTTAAGCCTGGTTCATGCTTCTCCGTCAGCTCCACAAGGGACAGACACGCACGCACGGAGACATTTTGCTCTCGTACTTCTCCGTCTCCTGGAGAGTTTTGTAAAGCAATTCCCCTCCAGGACAGCAGAGGGCGTAGCGCTGTTCTGTGGTATCCTGTCATGTATCGGTCCAAGATAGTGTGTTTATATTGTGTTTTGTATATAAGAGACTTTTTAACACTGACAAATTTGTCTCTCATCCTCCTCCACCTCTTCATGCGCTCGCCACCTCTAAACCCACGTTTCCTGTCATTTCCGTCCACAAATAAAACGCTTGATGCGTATCTTTTCACTCCTCCAGTCACGGGGAATTAAACGTTCATGTTTTTAGAGTTTTTTCATGAGGCATTCTTCAAGCTTCTCCGTGTCTGCCGTGTCAGCTCTCTTTATGTTTTTGAGGGCGCAATGGCGGCGCTGTAGACGACAGCAGCGTCCTGACCAATCACAAGCTTGCGTTCTGTCTCGATGGACGGATGTTTATAAAAGAGAGCTGGACTCCGTCCGTCCTTGCGGGGCTCTCCAGCAGGCTCACCAGGACGGATAACGGCGTTGCGTGTCTCCGCACTGACGCAGACGCATGACTCGGGCTTTAGCGTGAAACAAACACAGCCGTCTTTAAGCAGGTCTGAGATCAGTCGATCCCAAACACACAGCAGATCCTTCAGCTGTTATCCGTTTCCAGGCACGTGAAGTTTGTGAATGCACTTAATTCTGTTTCACCCAAACTTTGAAGAGAACAATGAAAATAATATTAGCTTCATGCAGCTTTAGGGTAGTCCATGATTATAATACTAACTGTTCCAGAGACGTGGGCTGAAGTGAATCTTCTCAGTTTGAGTGTGAATTTCCCATTACAGTGAGATGATCATATCTGCTACTGTTCACGTCCTGTGACCACGTTTCTGTGAGAGTTGCTGCCAGGTCTCACTCACATTATGTTCATCAGGACGAGGACATGGCTCTGCAGCAGGAGGACCACGAGGATGACATGGTGGATGTGATCTGGAGGCAGCTCACCAGCTCGTGCCCCTGGCTCGGGGAGGCAGGCCAGCAGGTCACAGATGGTCTGATTCGTGTTTGGAGACGAGTGGTGGACCGGATCTTTGGTCTGTACCGGGTCTCCTGCCACGCTTACTTCACCTTCCTGAAGCTGAATGCAGGACAGGTGAGACTGACAGCCCAGCTACGTTTCTTGGCACTCCTTCTGTTCGGTTGTTGATGTCCAGCGACTGTTTGGCTTCTTTAGGTTCCTGTAGATGAAGATGACCCGAAACTCCTGCTGTCCTGTCACAGCAATAAACAGAGTAATGATGATGTTATCGTCATGGCAACGCTGCGCCTCCTTCGGCTCCTAGTGAAGCATGCTGGTGAACTCAGGGAGGGACTTGAGCTGGGCCTGGCTTCGACTCCGACCGCACCCTGGAGACGTATGTCACACCAAACTACCCGCTGGCTTCAGTCTGTTTGAAAACTGCCATGCTCATGGTTTTTTAAACATCTTAGCATCAGTGTAGGGAGCTAATTAGCTTGAAGCTCTGTTGGGAGAACCTCTGGACAAACTAAAGGATGGTCTGCTGTCCTTTATGTGATTTCTACTGTGTGTTTTCCTCAGGCATCATCCCTCAACTGTTCTCACGTCTCAACCATCCAGAGGCTTACATCCGACAGAGCATATGCAACTTGCTGTGTCGAGTGGCCCAAGACTCCCCTCATCTGGTCCTCTACCCAGCTATTGTAGGGTCTCTCTCCCTGGGAGGGGAGGCTCAGAATGCAGGTATATAACTATACTTTCACTTTTCTCTGCCTTCTCCTTTCCACCTTGCTTTTGTCTGCGTCTTCTTCGGGGGTGTCGTGACCACCGTCTCGTACGATTGCCGGACTCTTCTCCTTTCGATCATCCGAGATCAGTCAAAACGCGCCTTGGCTTTGTTTACGTTCATGGGGTGCTGGACCCGAGCCGAGCGCCTCTAGCTAGGTTTTTCCAATCCTGGTGAAAACTGAGAAAGTGGGCAAAACGAGTCAGGATCCAGGTGAGTAAAGATTCTTGGCCGAAAACTGAAACACTGAAAGAAGTTGTCAATAATTAAAACCGCAGCATTAGAAGGACTGTAAAGTTAACTCTTTAAGCGCCAAAGTCGCAATATTGCATTTAACGCGCCAAAAGTAATCCCTCATGAAGTTATTACTTTACCCCAGAAGATGGTGGAGATGTGTAACTTCAATCTGAGCAACACTTACGGGTGTTTCTATTGAACGTTTCAGAGTTTATAGAGTTTGAAAAGTGCCCCTCATCCGAAGGCTCCCGACTGAGGAGAGGAGCATGGGGGGGGCGAATATTGTCGTATATTAGAGGAGAAACTTACAATGCGGACAGGTCTGTTCATTGCTGACGAAGCTCTTTGTCTGCTAATGGCTGTCTCTGATTCTGAAGAGGAATAGTCACCCTCTGATGAAAACATTCACTCATCCATCGAGGAAGGAAATGGCGCTGCAGCAGCAACAGTGTGTGCTTCATGAGAGTACAGACGCTTCACACACATGATCCAAAGCTTATTTCACCGTGTTCAGGGCATGGTGGGTGTAGGAAGGATGGAAAAAACACCGCTAATAGTGACAGACGTAGCAGGAATGTAAAACGGTAAAAAGCTGGGCAGACGCGGTGGACGTGAAACAAAGTAAAAAGGATATGAACATTCAAGCGATCATAATAAAACAGCATTGATGGGGGGGGGGGGGGGGGGGGTACTTTTGAAATCGGTACGAATGTAAGATTTTTATGAAGCAAAGAGCAAGTAGCCTCATGAGGGCGGAGCAAGATAGAACAAAAATGGGTCCACCTGACGGCCCATCTCGGCTGCGACGTTTATGAGATGTATGTATCTCAGCCAAAATACGAAAATGCACTTTTGGGTCATTTTCAGGCAAAAAATCTTGGTGGCTGGCTGGTGATTTAACGACCTGTGGGAACATATCTAAAATATCCGCACACGGGAAACTTCATCCGCTTCCTAGGTGGAAGTGGAGCAGTCCCAGTGGTTGTCACTGGTCCTGCCTCTTCTGTGCCAGCGTTCAGTTTCACTTTTGTGTTTGTCCGTGCGGGTCGTGCTGTTGTTTATTTGTTTTTTTATAGGCGGTGTTGGAGACGTCTTTACAGGGGGTTGACCGGGGTTAATAGTCACACGGGTTAATCCCTGCAACGCTAGTGGAGATAAAGCATCAACGTTGCAGAGCAGATTGAGTCGGTGGTAGAGTCATGTTGCTGTTAGCCAGTCAGAGATGAGATGTCCAAATATCAGGAAATTAGACTCCGAATCCTGCCGTCTGAAGCCACTTTCTCCTCTGGCAGTGCTCTCCCTGCTGAAACAGGCACATCTGAGTATTTTTCCCAAGAGTACGACTTAGAATGCATTCATTTGTACTAGAGACCACTGCAAATGTATTAAAATATGAGTGAAGGAGCTCTTTAAGATAAAAATAAGAATAAAATAAAAAAGAAAACACAGGAGCTCTAAAAATGCAGAAACGACTGAAAGGCCAGCATGAGTTTAGGACGACATCTGCATGAACTCACTAGTTTTTGGTAACACTGAGCTTGTTCAGACTGTAAAAGGAGCATAAAAGTATTTGTAATATGTTAATTTTGAATGTTTTATAAGCAAAGTTTTCCTGAGTATTCATCAGATAAGAATTATCAGTGAAATGTGAAATGATGTTGTGTTGATAGAGAGCAAATTGCCACCAGCTCTGCCAGCGTTTTTGGGCAGCATGCAAGGAGAGGACCTGGGTGGGGAGGAGGAGGAGGAGCAGCTGCAGAGCACCGAAGGAGGAGGATCTTCAGGAGAGATGGCCACCTGCTCCAGCCAGGACCAGGCCATGATGCAGGACTGTTACAGCAAGATTGTGGAGAAGTTGTCTCTCGCCAACCCAACCATGGTGCTTCAGGTAGGAGGAGCAGGACAGACGTATAACTAAATATGGAAACGAACCTGAAACAAACCCATTAGGGGGTCAACATTGGATTACATAAGGCTTTTCATCAATGTCTGTAAAAAGCAATCAGACTTTTCGGAAGTCCAGACTTGGGAATGTCAAACATTTTAAGAGATATTTAGTAATTGTGTTCCAGTGCACACTGATAGTTTAGAGGTGAAACGGGGAAAACAGAATCTGGTGCAAATGTTCATAATTCAACTTGAATGGTGAAACTAATCTGAGACAGACTCATTCCAGGCAAACTAGATATTTCAGCTTTTATTTGTTCTAACTGATGATTATGGCTTATAAAAACCCTACATTCAAAATCACACACTCAGGCGGCGTGAGTTCAAAAAGCATGACTTCACAACACAGTTGTAAGGGTGGAATCCATTTTTTTTTACCTAAATTGGTAATGGTGCTGTTCATTAGCAGCCCAAGGTAGCCCTTACATTCATAAAAGGCATAGCGGAAAAAATAACTAAGAAAAAACATACCAACAAAACTATGGATTGACAGTATTGGTATCGGTCAGATAAATAAAACCAGGCCAATATTAACAACCGATATCCTTTCATCTGGTCTCCATTTGTTTGCCTGTTTCAGAGGGTGGGGGTGATGTGTAATTACGTCATGTGACCAGGGGATGAAATCATCTCAGAACCATAAATGTGTGTGGTGTGTGTACATAATAACGTAAATTCAGCTTAAATAATTTTCATTCTATACAAAATCTGTAGATTTTAGAAGCATTAATGTCAGCATATCGGTATCTGCAAATATTGGTTATCGTCTATAACAGTGATCTTAGTATCGGCCCAAAAATTTCATATCGGTGCATCGCTAAACAAAACCATGCATGACGGTCAGAAAACGATTAGTACACCAGAAGACGAGATATCGGCAGATAAAAAATGCAGATTCCTATATGAGAGCTACCAACACACAATTTATTACATTGATACTTTCAATGTGTGAGTATGCTTACTAGCGGTGTAACATACACTAAAATTGTATTCGGTTCGGTTCAGTGTTGTTGAAGAGCTCGGTTTGATTAATTTTCAGTATATTTATTTATTTATTTAATATCTGAAGTGACTCACTCTGTCAGTGTCCAGAACAAGTGAACGACTGGATGCAGTCAAACTTCCTTTAGCTAATCAAAGACCAGACTGAAGTTATTGTCTTTGGCAACAAGAAGGTTAGGATGGAGGTTACTGCTCAGCTGGACTCCAGAGGAATAAAGACCCAGGTTAGAAATCTTGGAGTTATTATTGACTCCGACGTGAGCTTCTCTGGACATATTAACTCTATAACTAAATCAGCGTTTTATCACCTTCATCAAACATCAAGAGTCAGCGGTCTCATGTCCAGACCAGACTTATAGAAACTTGTTCATGCGTTTATTTCTAGTTGGCTGGACTACTGCAATGGTCTCCTAACTGCAGCTTGTTCAGAATGCTGCTGCTGGAGTTGTAACAAGAACTAAGACAACGGAGCACGTCACTCCTGTTCTTAGATCCCTACACTGGTTACCAGTAAACTACAGAATAGATGTCAAAGTGCTACTACTACTTTATAAATCACTCAATGGCATGGGACCAGAATACATGTCCGATCTCATTCCTGTATGTACACCAGGGCTATTCAAGTTTGGGCCTCGATGGCCGATACCCGGCACGTTTTAGTGGTTTCTCTGGTCTAACACACTAGACTCTGTGGTTGACTCACCTGTGCAGCAGCAGCAGCTCATCAGGCTCTGCAGAAGCCTGTTAATCACCTGCTGATTGAAATCAGGTGTGTTGATGCAGGGTTAAATCTAAAACGTGCTGGATATCGGCCCTCGAGGCCTGGAATTGAATAGCCCTGATATGCAGCCAATAGGGCTCTGAGATCCTCAGGTAACAATCAGCTGGCAGAACCTCGGGTCAGAACAAAACATGGTGGAGACGCAGTTAGGTACTATGCTGCTCACATATGGAATCAGCTTCCCCATGACCGCAGATCTGCCCCAACCCTAGAGTTGTTTAAATCAAAACAAAAACCCTAACGTACTCATCAGCCTTTAAATGAATTGTTTCTTATGCTGCGTCATCTCCACTGTAATCTACGCTGTTACTTTGTCTTCTCCTTTAGCTCTGAACTGTAATTCTATCTCTGTGGATTTTAATGTGTGTTTTTATGTCATGTCCTGATAATTGTAAAGCACATTGAATCGCCTCTGTGTTTGAAATGTGCTCTAGAAATAAAGCTGCCTTGCCTATAGTGAGCAGAAGCAGGTGTCATCACAGGCTGCTGATCTAGCATGACGTCTTTAATTATTTCACAGGTTGTGTGTGCAGTGTCACACTCATGCAGTTGTGTTTGACTGTTGATGCTCCGTGTTTTTATTTTTGCATCAAGCCTTAAAAACTCACCTCACACCGCCCAGAGTTTCTTCTTTAAACTCGTATTAAATAACGAGCTTCCTCTGTGCCGTATTTTTGTTGTAGGATGAAAACTTTACTTAGACTGTCCCAGGGGGAAAGTTCAGCGGACGTGTTTGTTTACATGTTTGCCGCTCCGTGTGTGAGAGAAGGGGGGAGGGGTGACGCTCCGTTCAGCGTCTCTACGGGCTCCACGGCAGCAGCGACAGCCAGCTGGCTTGATCCGCTCTGAAAGGCATTGATCAGAATTAGCAGATCACAATTTTTTATCAGATCGGGCGCGTGCAGCCATCCTGCATCACTCATAACAGCGTCTGTGCAGAAACTCGCCTAAAAACTTTTATCTGCTGCTCTTGAATCACACAAATAAAAAAAATCATTATTTAATGGAATAAATGAACCGAAACTGTACGTAAGTGGACCGAACCAAACAGGCCAAACCGAAACGTTTCAACGCCCCCCTCGTGAACCGTTACACCCCTAGTAAATATACGACTCTCTCAAAAAGTTTAGATAGGTGTTGGAAATGAGGGATAGGTCTATAGTTAGTAGCTGCATAGTAGCCACAGCTGCCCTGGGGTGCACTGACGGAAGCAAGGCTTCCAAACACTGGCTCCTCCAACCACCACCAGCAGGCAAGGTGGGTTAAGTGTCTTGCTCAAGGACACAGCAGCATTCTCTGGCGGGGGCCAGGATTGAACCTATAACCTTCTGATTACTGGACAACCTGCTCTACCTTCTGAGCTCAGTGGCCTAGTGGTAGAGTGTCCGCCCTGAGACTGGAGATCAGGGTTTGATTCCTGGTCGGGTCATACCAAAGTCTTTGAAAAATGGGGCCCAACGCATCCCTGCTTGACACTCAGCATTAAGGGGTTGGATTGGGGGGTTAAACCACCAAATGGTTCCCAAGCACGGCTGTGTCTGCAGCTCACTGCTCCCCCAGGGGATGGGTCAAATGTGGAGAACTAATTTCGCACACACATCAGTGTGTGTGACAACTAATGAGACTTTGACTTTGAGCTGCTGCTCCAAATCCACACAAGTCAGTTTCAGATTATAGCATCAACGTATAAATACTGGACAATTCATTTCCACAGGCTCCAATGACACGTTTTTGAGGCCAAATGGGAGGTGGCCACCACCACCATTTTGACCGTGTCACAGGTTCCGTCAAGCCCAGACAATTCCATAAAAGGGAAGAGAGGTGGAGCTGAGGGTGGGGCTGTAAGGCTGGGATCAACTGACGACACCCAGTCGAACTAGCTACAAGCTAACCTGAAGCTAACCCAAAGCTAACGCGGAGGTGGGAGCTAAGCTAACGGAGGTAGCAAGCTAGCTACAACCGGAGTTAACTGTGCACAACACCAGAGCTTCTGAGTCAGAGATACGCCGGACTGACCGCTGGGTAAAACCGGGTGGAACACAGAGGTCTCCGAGACCTCCACAAGCCAGCAGCCGCACAGCAGACAAGCGCTGCTGCGATCTGAGATGCGCAGAGCTGCCGCTTGGGAGAACCGGGTGGAAAGGTTTCCATCCCAGAGCTCCACAATCCAGCAGCCCGCGCAGCGTTCAGAAGCCGCGATCAGACAGAGATGCACCGAGCTGCGGGGAGGGGAGAACCGGGTGGAAAACATCGGTCTCCCGAGAGCTCCACAAGCCGATAGTGGGAACCCAGCTCCACTATTTCAACCCATTTTCTAAAGTGCAGCATTATGTTAAATGCACTGGGTTTTACTCTATTACATTTAAATTTCATGGTTAAACAGTACATGTTAAAATCTAAGCTCAGCTCGGCAGTGACCTAAAATACATAAATATAATTGTACTTATGGAAAAAAATGAAGTGGAGACTCCTTGGACGCTCTATTAGTGCAATTAATGCCACAGCAAGTCATTTTGTCCAACAATTGCACAAAAAATATCCAAAAAAGAACACACACACACAGAGACTCAAAATCCCGGAACAGTTTCCAAGCCAGACCGAGGCTCTACTGAGGCCTTTCCACGGAGCTAGCTCTGTGGTCACGTGGGTCTGATGCTCATTAATTATACAGAATTTTAGGCTTTTAATACACTTAAACAGAAGAGTGAGAAAAACATTCACCCCCCTCAGAGTTGTCATAAGTGTAAACTAGATCATTTAAAACAAAAACATGTTTTGGTACCAGGCTGTAAACATGTTTATTTCTGCTGTGAAATTGGTATTTTTAACATGGGAGTCAATGAGGATTTGCTCGCTTCTGATACCAGCCCCTAGTGGATGAGGGTGGAACTGCAATTTTTTGTCACTTCCGGGTTGGGCTAAATTTTTGAGCCGCATTGTGGGGGCTTGGATTATAGCCACAGCGTGTCTTGTGGAACTCTTCAATTCAAAAATACTTTATTAATCCCAGAGGGAAATTAGAGTTTCAGTACACACAATTCTGAGATCAGACATACATACATACATAGACACATGACAAGAGTTGGTGACTGTGGTCATTCGCAACACGATTCGCGCTACCGTAATAGATCAAGAGGGTTTATATGAGGATAGAGTCAGGGGGAGGGATTATAGTTACCCCCGACAGAGAGGATAGCTTTGTTATGCAAAAAAACACCTCAGACAGAAATGCACACAGACTTCAGACAGTACACAACATAAGTGTCCACTAGGTGGGGAGGTAGGGTTGGGACTCTCCTCACTTCAGAGCGTGCAGCCGCATGGAACAGTGCTCATCACCTCCATTTGGACAGGGGAGGGAGATAAGTGTGTTAGAGGGCACATTGAATCCTAGATACGTTTCCACGGCCTTCACCGGTTGCAGTCCCGCCCAGGCTGGGATAGGGAGAAAAAGTTTCCATAGCGACGGCAGCATTCCACATTTCTTCTGAGGGGAGTTTTCACTTCAGCCTCGCAGGCTTCAAGGGCACCAGATTCAGATAACAAGAATTGTTTTGGGTACAGACAGAGATAATTTCCTCTCTGCCTTAGTGTTCTGTCAGTCTTCAACCCCTCCAGGTCCAATAATGGCGTTATCAAACTATTCCAATCCGTGCTGATCCGTCAACTCTCTCCTTGATCGAATCAACCTTCTGTGCCAGAGCCTGAATCTCAGCCAAAGTTCCAAGCTTACGACTCATCTCGACAATTATATGAGTCTTAGAGTTTACAGCATGATGCATTCCATCCCTGAGCTCCGGGATTGAGCCAATATTCCTCGAAAGCTCGTTAATTTTCCAGTATGCCAGGCAAACGCTCAGGCCAAACAGCAGAAATCCCGACACCAAAACGACAAATATCCAGACATCTTCAGAATCCTCCATTGACAGTTGAGAGAGGCATATCAGGTTCCACTGTTTCCAGGAGTCCATGATATGCCCAGCTGGCTCTGTCCCAGAGGAGCATCCAGGAGCCCCTTCTCCCATTCATCGTTGAAAAGATTTTGTCAATCGCGTTGAGAGACCAACTGACCAGATCCATGTTTAATAATTTCCAGTTTCCAGAAAAAATGCAGAGAAGTGCAGTGTACAGGCAGACAGGACAGAGAGCCTTGGGAGGAGCAGGGAGGGAGGGGAGAAAAAAGCGTCTGTACTCTCCAAGAGCCGGAAGAAGAACAGTTTTCTCAGAGGTCTGCATTTTCTTAGTGAAAGTCAGTCTGAAATAAGGCGAAGTCAGTAATGATAAATATGTAATTATCTAATATCGATTAAAAAACAAATGAGGCAATAAAAATTCTCCTGTCTTTTTTCATTATAGCCTATTGGGTAGTTTTAATACCTGAGTCAGTGCTTACTCCCAACCAGTCAGAAACAGACCCAGACAAACTCCGTCACCAAGCGAACTAACCCGGAAAGGATAAAATGTAAAACAACAAATGATTAATAACTTCAAAGAAAACAAGTGATTAAGGTTCCTTCTTTCAGACTAAAATGGAGTTTCTGCATTTAAAAGACAGTTTCCCACCACTCACCATTTCTGCATTAGCAAGCCGTTGTCAGTCCTTGTTGTTCTGTGGGTCCTGCAGGTCCAGCAGCTGGTCGGAGAGCTGCGGAGAGTAACGTTGCTTTGGGACGAACTGTGGCTGGGTGTGTTACAGCAGCAACACATGCATGTGCTGCGTAGGATCCAGCAGCTGGAGGACGAGGTCAAAAGAGTTCAAAACAACAACACACTACGCAGGTGAGACTTTTCCACTTTTATTTATTTATTTGTGGTTTATTAGAAAGTACAAAGACCCCTGACAGTATTACTGTATAGCTCGGACTGTTCATGTTCATATTCACTATTTAAAAACAATTTGGCCTCTTTTACTTAGGAAATGTTATCAAGATAAAGGAGATACTAAATGCTGAGCGATTTGGGGTCACATTTCCCAACTCCTCTAGTGTTATATCAGATTTATTAGTTCAGTCGCACTCTTAATAATTTTATAGTTGAGTTTAAAGGTACAATATGTAAGAATTATACAGATAAATATTGACAGAACAGTATAATGTCTCAGTCATGTTGGAAGGAAGGTTACATTGAAACAAATGTCATTCTCAGCCAACCGGGGGGGGGGGGGGGGGGGGGGGGGGGTCAGTTTTTCCTCTTTTCGAGAAGTCAAAGATCACACAGTTACTGTTTACAATTTGTCCTGCCTCCATACTTCCCGATTCCAGACTCATTTGTTTTGAAACATGGAGTCAGTACCCACATTTGACCACAGGGTGTCATTTTTACTTCATGCCCCTTTTAAAGATATTAGCCAGAAGCAAATTTCCTTTGAACAACACGTGTAAAGAAGTGTTAAAACCTCAGATGAAAAAGGTTTTTGGATTTTCACGGCTGGAATTTCAAGACAATCTGATGTTTTTTTACTGGCGCGGGAAAAAAAGAAACTAACTTCCAGTCTAAGCCCTGGGCAGCTGGTGACGTTGCACAAGGAGCTCTGCTGAATCAGCTATAGTAAACAAGGAGAATAAGAGTAAGGAGAGAGTGGTGACAAAGGTCACGCAAAAGCCAGCCTGAACAGGTGAGTCTTCAGCTGCTTTTTAAAGGAGACCACTGAGTCCACTGATCTCAGGCTCGGGGGAGAGAGGCCCAGAGTCTGGGGGGCCACAAGCAGCAGATGATCTGTCACCTTTGGTCTTTAGCCTGGTGCTGCACAACCAGTAGACTTTGGTCACTGGACCTCAGGGACCTGCTGGGGGTGTAGTGACTAAGAAGAACACCAATGTATGATGGTGCTTGTCCATGTAAGGCCCTAAAAACCAAAACCAGGATCTTAAAATTAGGGATGGGTACCGAATTCGGTACTTTTTAAGGTACCGACCGAATTCCATAGTACCGACCGAGCACCGATTCACGTCATTTCAAACGGTGCCTCGTTTCGGTACCCGTCCATCATAACGAGAACTTGCCAAGACAGCTGCGCATGCGCAAGAGCGTTTTGTCGCCGCTTGCTGTGAACCAGTTGTAAACAGAGCAGCATGGTAGAGAGAACGCAGGCTAAAGCTTGGGTCCACTTCACTAAATGTGATGGGTAACTGGGTGATGATGAAACCAGCGACAACTATCTAAGTGAGACATCCTCATCTTAATCTGCTCCGGTAGGTAAATATAATTAGCTTGATATGTTAGCTTCCGTTTCGCTAATGGTGCGTTCGCTTTCTCCTTGGAACTCCGAATTTCCGACTAGAACAACATGAACGCGCTCTAAAGTTTGGCTTCACTTTACTAAATGTGACGGGTGAAGACGAAACCAGTGACGATCTAAGTGTGAGGCATCATCGTTTTAATCTGCTCCAGCAGCTAAATAAACTGTTTAAGATATCGTTAGCTTGATATGTTAGCTTCCATTGCTACCATTGTTATCAGCTAATGGTGCGTTCGCTTTCTCCTCGGAAATTCTAACTTCCCAGTAGGAAAAATCAAATGAAAAAAGATGGTAAAAGGAATGAAGATACACAGTAAATTTAGTTCACAGTAAAGATGTTTGCTTCAGTTTAATTATCAGCTTATAAAACTACAAGGGCGATGTTAAAATACAAACAGTTGTATGTTATTTATCGTGATATTTATCAAATATTGTTATATATTAAGAAAAATATATATTTAATTATAAAAGAGAATTAAAATAATAAACACTCAAAAGTATCGAAAATTGGTACCATTAAGTACCGGTATCGATTCGTAGGTACCTGTAATTAGTACCTGATCGATTCAAATGTCAAAGCCGCCCTACTTAAAATGAACCCTGAAGTTGACTGGCAGCCAGTGAACCTAGAGGAGAAGCGGGGTGATGTGTGTGTACTTGGACACTTTGATCAGAAGCTGAGCACAGGCATTCTGAACCACCTGTAGACGGTTCAGGGAGGTGGGTTAGGGTTAGCAATTTTTACTCATGACAAAATAACATGAGGTGATCAGTAAATAGTGTAAGGTAATCTGAATGCTCCATATGAACACAACTCAGCTAAAAAAAATTTGGTGTTACTGGACATTTTGCTCAGTTTTATGGCTTTTTGTCAGACTCTGAACCAGGAAATGGCTGCAGGCAGTGAAAGACTCTGCCAAACTAGTGACTCCGCCCCCTTGTCAATCAGTGGCCAGAATCATATGCTGACCCAACTCAGCCTTGCCAGGTACCTCAACAGAGCAGGGACTAAAATAGGGGAGAAAGTAGAGGGAAAATACCGAACCGTGCCCTTGGGAACAGTGGTTGGGCTGAGCTGCATCGGTCCGAGTTGCTCTGAGTAGTGCTCCTTGAAAAACACGGTCCAAGTTGCTCTGAGTAGTGCTCCTTGAAAAACAAGGTCCAAGTTGCTCTGAGTAGTGCTCCTTGAAAAACACGGTCCAAGTTGCTCTGAGTAGTGCTCCTTGAAAAACACCTTTAGACATCTCATGGGGCTTAAATGCGATGTACAGTTGGATGTCGTCTGCATAAAGATGGTAGGACATTCCTTTAAAGAAGCTCAGGATGTGCTGCACAGGAAGCAGATACAGGAGGAAGAGTAAAGGCCCCAGCACAGAACCTTGTGGGACACCATAGACTCAAACATATAAAAGGAGAACCACTCCAGAGCAGTTAAGTTAAAGAAAATGCAATGGTGATCTGAAATATAAATGTCTTCAGGACAAACACTGTCAGTATTTGTACCGAGGGTAAAAACAAGGTCTAGAGAGTGTGTGGGGCCAAAAACATGCTGGGTAAAGCTGAATATATAAATATGGACAATGGGTTTCCTCCAATAATATGTTTTTGAGGTAAAATGGGAGGTGGCCACCACCGCCATTTTGACCGTGTCACAGATTCCGTCAAGCCCAGACAATTCCACAAAAGGGAAGAGAGGTGGAGCTGAGGGTGGGACTGTAAGGCTGGGATCAGATGACGACACCCAGTCGAGCTGAAGCAATGTAGCTACAAGCTAACCTGAAGCTAATGTGGAGGTGGGAGCTAAGCTAACTGAGGTAGCAACCTCGCTACAACCGGAGTTAACTGCACAACACCAGAGCTTCTGAGTCAGAGATACGCCGGGCTGACCTCTGGGTAAAGCCGGGTGGAACACAGAGGTCTCCCGAGAGCTCCACAAGCCGGCAGTCGCACAGCAGACAAGTGCCGCTACGATCAGAGATGCGCAGAGCTGTCACTGGGGAGAACCGGGTGGAAAACATTGGCTTCCATCCGAGAGCTCCACAAGCCGGCAGCTGCACAGCAGACAGGCGCCGCAGCTGCAATTTATTTCACTTCCGCATTGGCCTCACTTTCAGACCCGCATTGTGGGGGCTTGGGCTGGAGAAGCTCATGGCAAAGTGGTCTGAGGCATCATCATTGTGAATGTTAAAATCACCAACAATCACTAGTCTGGACTGGATGAAAAGTCACTAAACTCCTGAAGGAAAGAATTGTTTGGACTAGATGGATGATAAACCACTACACTGTAGAACTGGTCCTTACGTCCAAGTTTAATCAGCTGCAGTTCAAAGGAAGCAAAGTGTCTAGTGATTGTAGAGCAACATGGAAGATGGTGTCTAAAAAAACCAGCTAGGCCTCTACCTCGACCAGAACCCTGGGGCTAGCTAGGGAAAAAGGACACACTCGGGCAGAGTTCAATCAGACCAGAATAATCAGATGTTTGCTATCAAACTTCAGTCAGAAACAAAGTCCAGGTTTTTAGAGATAATTAGATCATTGAGCAGGAAGGACTTATTGTTAATAGAGTGGGTATTTAATAGAGCCATGCTGAGTGAGGTGGAGGAATCAGAAATTACAGAGACAACTGGAGTTAGTGGATGTAAATTAGCAGGATTAGATCCACGATGTTTATAAACACAGCGCCCTGCTCACATAAGCAAATAGGCAGATAAATCCTCGGCGCGTTCTGGGTGATTACAGATGGACAGAAGGACAAAATAGTCTGGCGATCGTAGGAGATGGTAGCCGGGACACTACCGAAGACGATCACAGACAGAAGCAAGGCAGAAAGGTCAATTGAAGAAAGTTTGAAAAGTGGCAGGTAACAGCAGCAATTTTGAGCACAGGTGTCATCTTAAAGTCCCATTTAGTCGTCACACACACACACAGGTGTGTGGTGAAATTTATCCTCCGCATTTGACCCATCCCCTGGGGGAGCGGTGAGCTGCAGACAAGCCGCGCTCGGGAACTATTTGGTGGTTTAACCCCCCAATCCAACCCCTTACTGCTGAGTGTCAAGCAGGGAGGCATTGGGTCTCATTTTTTCAAAGTCTTTGGTATGACCCGACCAGGAGTTGAACCCCTGATCTCCAGTCTCAGGGCGGACACTCTACCACTAGGCCACTGAGTCGGTCTGATATGGAACGATATGGAACGCGTCTGACCTCTTGTTACTGACCCAAAACAAATATTTGCTTTAAAAGTTTTTCAAACGAGCACTTTTTAGTGTCACCCTTTTAGAATAAAAAAGGTAATTCATCATGAGTTAACTACAAGTCCTTTCCACAACTACTGGGCCATTTTGGAGTACGTAACCAAGCACAGGCACTCTGTTGGTCCTGAAACGGGCGGAAAAATGGTCCTGTCTAGTTGTCCCGGTGAAATGGGAACACGCATGCCATTAAGGTCTGGTAGAATTACCTGGAAGTTCTGATTGTAGAAATAGCCCTCAATATAACATTTTTAAAATGTCATTATTTTATTATATTTTAGGGGGAGGCCAGCTGCTTTGCTCAGCCTTTATAATTTAGGATTTTTAGGAGCTTTATCCTTTGGCAGCAAATGTAACTGTAGGTATTTTTGCTATGGACTACAAAATTTTTCACTGTTGCAAAACAGAATAACAAAATTAATTTACAGCTGAAGGTCTTTTTCACCACTCTGCTTTTATTTATGATCTTTCTGATGCTACAGGGATGAAAAGATCGCCATCATGCGTGAGAAGCACTCTGCTTTGATGCGGCCCATTGTCTTTGCCCTGGACCACGTTTGTAGCATCACAGCAGCTCCAGCAGAGACGCCACATGAGACCTGGTTCCAGCAGACCTACGGTGATGCCATCACCTCTGCCTTGGAGCGGCTCAAAAACCCAGCCAACCCTGCTAACCCAGCTAGTAGTTGGCTTCCTTTTAAACAGGTGAGTGTTTGTATGAACCTGTTCACCTGAACAGATAGTTTAGTACAGACGTGGACAAAAAATCCCTTTACCTTTCATTAACTAATTTGCTGTTTTGAATCCAAAATAGGTCATCTACTCGATTGATGAGAATATATTTTTTGGTATCCTGTCATGTATCCAGTCCAAGATGGTGTGTTTTATATTGTGTTTTTTGTATTTCAGAGACTTTTTAACATGGACAAATTTGTCCCTCTTTCTCATTCCCACCTCTTCATGCGTTCGCCACCTCTAAACCCACGTTTCCCATCATTTCTGTCCACCAATGAAACGCTTGCTGTGTATCTTTTCATTCCTCCAGGCACGGGTGAATAAAAAGTTCAAATTTTTAGTTTCTCCTTGAAGTATTCTTCAAGCTTCTCCATGTCTGTCCCTAGATAGCTTCTGCTCCCATAGCTTTTGAGAGCACAATGGCGGCACTGTCGATGACAGCGACACCCTGACCAATCGCAAGTTCTCTGTCTTGATGGACAGATGCTTAGAAAAGAGAGCTTGGCTCCATCCGCCCTTGTGAGCCTGCTGGAGAGCCATCGAACGGACGGATAATTGCGTGCACCCGTCCTGACGCAGAAGGAGCCGTATAAATTAGGCTTAATGTGTAAGCGGCTTTAGTAAAAGTGGAGCTGACATAGCTGGTGCTGCAGTCTGCTTCCAGCAGGTTTCCTGCATGTTTTGGATCAGCGGTTCCCAAACTTATTTAGCCGCGCACCTATGTATATATTTCACACGTCAAGGTAAACAGTCACTCGACAGACAGGGTTAAAAATATATGATCGACCTTTTTCCCCATCACTTTCATTTTTTAAATAGTAATTAAAAAATATTCGATACCGTTACAATTTCCTTTAATTTTAAATCAATATTTATAGTGCCCAGGTAGCACATAAACAATGCAATTTAACGGTTTTCTTAAAGAAGGAACGTTTAACCAGAGCTCTTTCCTTCCTTCTGCTCTGCGTAAACCTGAACTGATCACCTACTTGTGTGTAATCAAATGCCTATAGGGGAAAAGATGGAAAAGATATAGCCATGAGGTTCACTTTTGCCTCAGACCGACTTATTGCTGTTTTATGGTGTGGCTGAATCTGCGATCCGCTGCCACGCGGACTGGAAAAACAAATGCTGCAGTAACATGAGTTGTAGTCAGGTTCATGAGGAGTCACTGGCTGGAGCGGACCCGACTTTAATACGTCATCCCAAAATAGAAGCTAATATCTTAATTTGACCTGGAATGAAAAATGTTATAAAACCTCTTAAAAGTTTTTATCACGGAGGAGGCAGCGCTCATTTCTGTCTTCAGTCTGACGGCGCGCCGGAGTTTGCGCAGCGTGCTCGCTTATTGAATCTGTGTGCGTGTGCGTGTGTGTGTGTGTGTGTGTGTGTGTGTGTGCGTGCGTGTGCGCGCGTGTGTGTGCGGCACAGCTCCATGAGCCGCTCCAGTCACCGCGTCTCGTTATTTGGCGCCATTTAAACCAATGTTGTAAAATTACTTCTGCCCAGCCCAGATGTGCTCACATGTGCACCCGTGAGCCGTGGATCCGCTGGAACGCGTCTGACCTCTGACAGACGCACTCTGAACTTCAGATCTTTATCATTGATTTATTTAGTTACATCCACAATGTTCTGTGTGTGAGGTTTACAACGTCAGAACACCTGCATGAGACAGGTGTTAATTACAATCTGCCAGAATGACTCACCACCTTCAGATTTCTCAAACACCGTTAAAAATGATCAAATACAGAACAAATCGGCGTGCGCAGGCCAGAGCACTGAAGCTTGGCGCATTATTATTATGAAGCTAGGGCACATGTGGAGGACACACGCACACACACACACACACACACACGCTAAATATACTTGTTTTCAATTACATTTATTGGGCCCACTTACTTTTTCTTTGGCCCACCCACAAATGAGTTTCTGGCTACGCTAATGGTGACATCTGACAGACCTCTCTGAGCTCCGCAGCCATTACACTTTTCACCTCGCGCACCCCCTAGCGGCAGCTCGCGTACCCCACCACACTTAGAGAATCCCTGTTTTAGATCATGAACACAGTTGATTTGTTTGATTTAGTGATAAACCGCTCCTGTAGACATCAATGAAGGCCAAAAGGACATTTCAGCAATTATATTAAGGCATTAAAAAGACACTCGTGCAGCGAGGAGATAAGATTTACTTTTGGTTGTACTAAACGGACACTATGGAGTTCTCATAGCAACCCAAACGGCATAGTTTCCCTTTAACCACGGGGTCAAATACTGCCGAGGATGTTTGATCCTCCATTAAGACTCTGTTACTCTTAACTTGGCAAAGCCATTTCTCACCCTTTTCACCGTTGAGTTGTTTACATGTCTGATTTTTACACTCAAACTCGAGTTTGTTTTGCACAGATCATGTTGAGCCTGCAGCAGCGAGCTCAGAAGCGAGCAAGCTATTTGCTCAGCCTGGATGAGATCAGTCCTCAACTGGCTTCTATGACCACCACAGAGATGGCCCTGCCCGGCGAGGCGTCTGCGTCGGATGCTGTGACTATTCAGAGTGTAGGCAACACCATCACAATCCTGCCCACCAAGACCAAGCCAAAGAAGCTTTTCTTCCTGGGCTCAGATGGCCACAACTACCCATATCTCTTTAAAGGTAGAGAAGCAGGCCAAAACAGGCCTTCTAGAAGTCACGTGCAATAAGCCCATAAAAGAGTGTTCTTCCCGTTTCTAGCACCAGGATGTGGATTACATTAGATTCAAATCATGACTTCTGCATTTCAGTTACTTGTTCCATGCATTTATTTGAGGCCTTTTGGTGACTTTATTAAAATCTTTCAGGTTTGGAGGATTTGCATTTGGATGAGCGGATTATGCAGTTCTTGTCCATTGTCAACACCATGTTTACCAAGATCAACCAGCAGGAGCAGCCATGTTTCCACGCCCGCCACTACTCTGTCACCCCTCTTGGAACCCGCTCAGGACTCATCCAGTGGGTGGATGGTGCAACGCCACTGTTTGGCCTCTATAAGCGCTGGCAGCAGAGGGAGGCTGTGCTGCAGGCTCAGAAGGTTCAGCTCTTTCTTTGTACTTAACACCTCCTTAAATCATGTTCACTGATTCGGTTCTACAATTTGGATGGGCTAGACTGAGTGTCCTGTTTTTATTAAACAAAGATCCTTTTTAAAGCCAGAGACTGAATTCGGTCCTGTCTCTGATTTCTAACTTTCCACAACCACAGTAAGGAACCTGAAACGTACCCATGCCTAGCTGTGATAGATCAGCTGTTTTCTATTCTGTAATGTTCTCGGGTAATTACAGTATTTTCAGATTTGCTGAAAAGATTTTCTCTCTCTTAAGGCCCAAGATTCATTCCCACAGCAGCCAGTGCCTCCAGTGCCCCGTCCCAGTGAGCTCTACTACAGCCGCATTGGGCCAGCTTTGAAAGCCGTGGGGCTGAGTCTAGATGTGACGCGCCGGGACTGGCCCCTTAATGTTATGAAGGATGTTCTGAAGGAGTTGATGGAGGCCACACCCTCCAACCTGCTGGCCAAAGAGCTCTGGTGTTCGTGCACTACACCCAGTGAGTGGTGGCGAGTCACTCAGGTACGTTGCCGTGATTTACCCCGTTCTTGCCTGTTTACAAACATGGCGTTCAGTGTTCTGCAGAACCAGCTGATGTAGCATCAATTTAAAGACTTTGAGTAACGTTTTTGAAGCCCAAAGGGGTAGCGCACCACCGTATATGGCTGCCCTGCTGCAAAGACACGACCCCACCGACCTGCAGGGCCTTTCTGTTGTCCCAGGGTCGAGGGGCAAGGCTAGAGGGGATCGGGTTTATTCTGTATAGATCTGTCCTTCTGGAGTGCACTGCCACCAAGCGTGGTAAATGATAAATGACCTGCACTTATCGTGGTCGAGCTTGGAGTCAGAAGACTTAACCCAACCAAGATTTTACAACTCCATTGAAGATGAGTTTTTATTTGCAACAGACGTTGGTGTTAGAAATTATTGTGATGACGAGAAAAATACCGAAGAAGCTGAATTTGGAAAACAGATATGTTTCATAGAGCCCTGGTATTAATGCCAAATAATGAACGAATGTTAATATTTTCTGTACTTTGACCCGGCTTCCATAAAAACAACTTTCATCTGATTTAGGACTCCCTGACTCATTAGCATTGCTGTTCTTTTGTTTCCCACTGCAGCTGTACGCCAGGTCCACTGCCGTCATGTCCATGGTGGGCTACATCATCGGCCTCGGGGACCGTCACCTGGACAACGTGTTGATTGACATGACCACTGGGGAGGTGGTGCACATTGACTACAACGTCTGCTTTGAAAAAGGTTTTTTGAGTGATGTACCATAGACTAAAACATGGAGGTAGTTTTGAGTAATGGTGCATGTGAGAGGACCGTTTGTGTTTCCAGGGAAGAGTTTGCGAGTGCCAGAGAAGGTTCCTTTCAGAATGACGCACAACATCGAGGCTGCTTTGGGAGTCACCGGAGTGGAGGGCATCTTCAGGCTGTCCTGTGAACAGGTTCTTGTCAAATCACGTCCGATAGGGTTCAATCTCATTTGACGTTTGTGCTGAACGGTGTCTAAAACTGTTCATTCTACAAATGAGTTCTGGTTTGCTGAAACACTTCTCAACCTGGTTGTGTTTGCAGGTCGTTCAAATCATGCGTCGGGGAAGAGAGACGCTGCTCACCTTGCTGGAGGCCTTCGTCTACGACCCTCTTGTGGACTGGACTGCGGGAGGGGAGGTGGGCTTTGCTGGTGCGGTGTATGGAGGTGGGGGACAACAGGCTGACAGTAAGAAGAGCAAGCGAGAGATGGAGAGGGACATCACACACTCTCTTTTTTCATCCAGGGTGGCAGAGATCAAGGTGAGCTCATGTCCAACATTAAATTATTTTTCCTTTTTAAATCTGCTGCAAAGAACAACAGATTAAACAGTGAAAACAGGGTTAAAATAATAACCAGCAAGCGGAGACGAAGGGACTGCTTCAAACACGGGGTGTTTAAGGTACTTTGTGGATCACGTGCAGGTGAACTGGTTCAAGAATCGGGATGAAATGTTGGCTGTACTTCCACAAGTGGAAGAGGCTGTGGAGGAGTACTTGGTCCTGCAAGATTTGCTCTGCCAGGGGGAGAAACTACAGGCCAAATTGCAAGAGGAGATGGACTTCCTGAGGGGAGCAGAGAATCATCCAGACCACGTCATCCTGACTCTGGAGAAAAGGTCAGAACTACTTACTTGAAGTGGGTTAGGGTTACCGCGTTGCTGCTGAACTGCATGTAGTACTTGAGTCTTCCAGCAGGGGGCCACAGTACAGAACTCAGACCGGACAGAGGGCTGGGTTTGTGGGATGCAAACATGACGACAGGCGAGATCAACAGCTGATGCCTTTTGAGATCATGACAGAAACCCGACGCTTACACATTAGCGTTGGCGCGGTCAGGGTTTGCTGGGGGTGGGTGGCGTGAGTTCGGTCCCCAACGGGCGGTGTAGTGTTCACATATAAATCCGAGAGACTTCTCGTGGATGCGGAAATCCCCGAGCCTGTGGGCGGCGTTCTCTGTCGGCTGCAGTGACAGGTGATTGGCTCTAAGAGGAGTAGATCGGCAATTGGCTGATCACGCGGTTTTCACGAAAATCGGCCGATTTTTATTGGTCGCCGATCAATCGTAACATCCCTAATGTGAACACTACACCACCTGTACCAGGCCAAGCTCACGCCATCCAGCCCCCCGATCGAAGCGACGCCAGTGTGTAAGCGCCTCTTTAATGTAGTTTTGTCAGTCTGTGGGCCTTTATAAATAGAAGACCTGATTCCAACTGCCCTTTACAACGTTAAGATCCTTTTAAAAGGCTTTGTTCTGGATTTGTATCATTTTGATTGACATTTCCATCTGTGAAGTGTACATTATAAACTTTACTTACTGACAAAAACAAACGTTATGTCAAAGTCCCATATTTATTATTCCTATGAAGCGTTTTTTCTATTTGCCTCATCAACAGATACTCGGAACATACTCGGCTGCAGTCGCAGCAGCGGACTGTACAGGAGGCCATTCGGGCAAAGCTGACTGACTTGGAGCAGTGGGTCTCTCAGTACCAGGCAGCCTTTTCCAGCCTGGAGGCCACGCAGCTTGCAAGCCTTCTGCAGGACATAAGCAGCCCCATCGACCTTGGTAAGGAGTAAGGGCTGTCAGGGTTACCATAAAACTACATAGTGGGTAAACTAAAGGTTCCCGTCTCTTCAGCTGTTCTGTTCATTTGTTGTTTAATGACTGTAGGTCCTCCCAGCTATGTGCCAGCTACCGCATTCCTGCAGAACGCAGGTCAGGCTCATCTGATCAGCCAGTGTGAAAGCCTGGAGGCCGAGCTGAGCTCCCTGCTGCAGCAGCGTCGTGCCGCCCTTCGTGGCTGCCTGGAACAGCTGCACAGCTATGCCACGGTGGCTTTACTGTACCCGCAGTCCACGCTGCTCTTCCACAGAGTCTACCAGTGGAAGGCCTGGCTGGAGGAGCTTCTGAGAGAAATGACTGTTGATCAGTGCCAGCACATCTACAGACAGTATGTAGTTTCAGCATGCTCTTCCTTCTGACAGTGCAGGCACTGTTTTCATGGGGGGATGTTTTCATACTGCTGGAAAACTTTGTGTCTCATAGACAAAATGATTTTCCACAGTTTGAACCCTTAAATTAACAAGCTTTGTAATATGCAAACAGAAGAGGACCAATAACTGAAATCGAGTTTTAATATACAGTCAGGTCCATAAATATTGGGACATCGACACAATGCTATCATTTTTGGCTCTATACACCACAATGGATACCAAATGAAAGGAACAAGATGTGCTTTAACTGCAGACTGTCAGCTTTTATTTGAAGGTATTTACATCCAAATCAGGTGAACGGTGTAGGAATTACAACAGTTTGCATTTGTGCCTCCCACTTGTTAAGGGACCAAAAGTAATGGGACAATTGGCTTCTCAGCTGTTCCATGGCCAGGTGTGTGTTATTCCCTCATTATCCCAATTACAATGAGCAGATAAAAGGTCCAGAGTTCATTTCAAGTGTGCTGTTTGCATCTGGAATCTGTTGCTGTCAATCGTCAAGATGAGACCCAAAGAGCTGTCACTATCAGTGAAGCGAGCCATCATTAGGCTGAAAAAACAAAAGAAACCTATCAGAGAGATTGCAAAAACATTAGGCGTGGCCAAAACAACAGTTTGGAACATTCTCAAAAAGAAGGAGCGCACGGGTGAGCTCAGCAACACCAAAAGACCCGGAAGACCACGGAAAACAACTGTGGTGGATGACCGAAGAATCCTTACCCTGGTGAAGAAAACACCCTTCACAACAGTTAGCCAGATCAAGAACACTCTCCAGGGGGTAGGTGTATCTGTGTCAAAGTCAACAATCAAGAGAAGACTCCACCAGTGTGAATACAGAGGGTTCACCACAAGATGTAAACCACTGGTGAGCCCCAAAAACAGGAAGGCCAGATTACAGTTTGCCAAACGACATCTAAAAAAGCCTTCAGAGTTCTGGAACAACGTCCTACGGACAGATGAGACCAAGATCAACTTGTACCAGAGTGATGGGAAGAGAAGAGTATGGAGACGGAAAAGAACTGCTCATGATCCTAAGCATACCACCTCATCAGTGAAGCATGGTGTGGGCATGCATGGCTGCCAGTGGAACTGGTTCTCTTGTATTTATTGATGATGTGACTGCTGACAAAAGCAGCACGATGAGTTCTGAAGTGTTTGGGGTAATATTATCTGCTCATATTCGGCCAAATGCCTCAGAACTCATTGGGCGGCGCTTCACAGTGCAGATGGACAATGACCCAAAGCATACTGCAAAAGCAACCAAAGAGTTTTTGAGGGGAAAGAAGTGGACTGTTTTGCAATGGCCAAGTCTATCACCTGACTTGAATCCGATTGAGCATGCATTTCACTCGCTGAAGAGAAAATGCCCCAGGAACAAGCAGGAACTGAAGACTGTTGCAGTAGAGGCCTGGCAGAGCATCACCAAGGATGAAACCCAACGTCTGGTGATGTCTGTGTGTTCCAGACTTCAGGCTGTAATTGACCGCAAAGGATTTGCAACCAAGTATTGAAAGTTTTGATTTATGGTTCTTATTCTGTCCCATTACTTTTGGTCCCTTAACAAGTGGGAGGCACAAATGCAAACTGTTGGAATTCCTACACCGTTCACCTGATTTGGATGTAAATTCAATTCAATTCAATTCAAAAATACTTTATTAATCCCAGAGGGAAATTGATTGCTGTAGTAGCTCAGGATAATAATAAATACCCTCAAATAAAAGCTGACAGTCTGCAGTTAAAGCACATCTTGTTTGTTTCATTTGATATCCATTGTGGTGTATAGAGCCAAAAATGTTAGCATTGTGTCGATGTCCCAATATTTATGGACCTGGCTGTATTTGTATATGTAAGTGTTTTAAACCCAGTCTTACAATGCGAGGCAACATCCTGGACACCCTGAAACCAGTCCTGAGTTTTTCTCCCTCCTCTGACAGATACGAGGTGCTGTTCACCCCTCAGACTCCTGCAGCCACCTGCCAGTTTCTGTCCAATGTGGAACTCACGTTGCAGCATCAAGTGGCTGAGGCCAACGAGCGTATGATGCACCAAGCAGAGCGGCTTAAGGCTGAGGGCACCACTGTAGCGGTGTGTGAGGAGCAGCTGCAGGAGATTGAAAACTGCATTGGCGTCTACCTACGGGAGAACGCGGAGCCTGGGTCTCTGAGCCTAAGTGCTATCATCACTTCTGCTCTCTGTACGCTCTGCAGGTGGGATTATTCACAAAATTGATTTGACCGAACGACCTTAGCGAACATCAGCCTTTAAAGGTTTAGTGCCCTGGACAGTTAACAGACCAAACCAGAGGTAACGAGGAAGTTGTCTTTTTCCTTCCAAAGGCGCAATCTGGTGATGGAAGGGGCGGCGGCCAGTTCCGGAGAGCAGCTGGTGGACCTGACATCTCGGGATGGGGCCTGGTTTTTGGAGGAGTTATGCAGCATGCTTGGAAATGTCAGTGCCTTGGTAACGCTGCTTCAGCGCTGCTCACTCCTGCCTCATGACCTGGAGCTGCCTTCACCCACAGTTACCACCCAGACCGTGTACCTGGCAAATGCTGTTTACACCTGTTTACATGTATGTGCACCTAACCCTAAAATCTGGATCTAAAGCTAGTGGTTGCTCAGAGTTTTTGAGACCTTGATCTTGTTTACTGTAGGAACTGAACACCAACTTCAGACAGATCATCTTTCCTGAGGCTCTGCGCTGTATGATCAAAGGAGAGCCCACCCTGGAGTCCATGTTGGCTGAGCTGGAGCAGCTGGTGGAGCACAGCTCTGATGGCCTTGGCTTGCAGGGATTGGCCGATAATTTACAGGCCACCACAGGCTTGGACCAAGATGGACACAACCACTTCCTCCACATCACCAGGTGAGTTATTCTACTTGTGATTTCATCACCTCACTTGTTACTGCTCTGCCTGAACTAACAGCGGTTGTGTCTACTCAGAATGCTGCGTGCCCAGTACTCCGAGCTGATCCAGCCCCATAGTCTGGATGGACAAGGTCAGGACACACCAAAGATGTCAGCGGGACAGATGCTGCTGGTCGCCTTCGATGGCATGTTTACTCAGTTGGAGACCGCTTTTGGACAACTCACAGAGAAGGTATCAAACGCTTCACTTGGATAAGATGAAAGCGCTGTAAATAATCTTTGGGCAGTCTCAAAATACACAATTTTACAAGATTTAATTGTTTTCATAGAGCTTTAAAGGGACTTTAAGGAGTTTGACGTTTTTATGCTCGTGATTGCCCCCTCAGGCCAAACGCGTAACTGCTGCTTCAGTAGTAAGCTCGTGCACGAGGCGCGCACGCTGTACGTGCACACTCCTGAACAAAAACAACAGCCGAGTCAGTCCCTACGGTACAATTTACAGGTTTAGACTGCTCTACACAATTCTAATGAATTAGTCCTCAGCACCCCCCCCGTTCTGCATGTTTTCAATGTCTCCTGCTTCAAGCACACCTGATTTACGTGTTTGAATTGCGTCCTCAGGAGGACATCAACTGCTGCAGAAGCCTGTTAATCAGACATTAATTTAAGTCAGGTGTGTGGCAGTAGAGAAGAAAACTAGTGTTTGAAAGGGCAACGTGTAAAACGTGTAGGACGGGGGAGCTGAGGACCCGGGTTGAGAAACCCTGAATTAGACAAACACTACTCTGTCACGCTAGGCAAGTGGCCTAAAAAGTGTTCCAAATATCATATATGGAATGCGCCCAGCTTGCTTCTAAAGCATCAACCCTTTTCCCCTAAAACTATTTTATTAGTTAAAATTATTAATTAGTATGATTAAAATGGCCCAAAATTATTTGATGTGTAAAAAAAATTCTAAAAGTATAAATAAAGTGGTATTAGGGCATACCTGGTGTGGTGATCCAAACCGTTCTGTTATGGGACATAGCTCAGACCTCCTGCTCATGTGTGTGCATCACCAGTATTTTCTTGAACAGCAGCTTTTCTCCCCTCTCCACTCTTCCGTTGTGTTTTCTCTCCATCTACTGTAGATCATGATAAAAACGTGCATCAAGCAACTGGGAGCGGGTGTCTCCTAGGGCTGGGTGATGTGGTCTAAAGTCAATATCACGATTAGGGCCCGACCGATATGCTTTTTTTGGGACCGATAGCGATATAAAACTTTTAACAAAGGCCGATAGCCGATATAATGGCCGATAAATCTCCCTCACAAAAAAATAAATACAAATGTTCTTAAGATTAAACCCTTAATTCTCTGCCTTTTTGATGCTAACTTATTTCTCTATTACACACCAAAGAACGGTCTCAATAACTCACTAGGGTTTCCAAGTAATGCAAATAAGATTTGTTTTGCAATCTCAAAAACAACAGAACACACAAACTACTACTGAAGATGAGCAGATGCTGCAGATGACATCACCGGATGGATCTTTAGTGAAGCAGGCCCACACCTTACTACGACCCTCTTTTTCTATCTGTAATAAAATAATCAGCATAAAAGTACAGTTATATATATATCTGTTGATACCAAGACAAAGTAAAATACATTAAATATGGCATTTTTATACTTAAAAGTTTAAAAATTATCATGAAAATAAATGATATCAGGCATTGTGGCTCAAAACCAATGGCTCTGTTTTTGTTTGGTTCCCCAGCTGTTAAGGTTTTCTCATTTATTATTCAAGTCTTTTTTTTTTCTTCCTTCCACTGAATTTTCTACTCCGTTTGTTTTCAGATTCAGATTTATTGGCCAAGTAAAATTACATTTACAAGGAATTTGGCTTCGGTAGATGTTCGCTCTCTAAAACATACAACAACCACAATAAATGAGAATAAAAATACCTAAAAACACATAAGAACATGTATACCCACACACATGTTCATTTACACACACACATATATACATATATACATACCCACACACACACACATATCCATAAGCATACTGAATAAGTATTAAAAACTATAATAAAAGGATGGTCAAAGAATCTACAGATTCAGGAGAGAAATGGCTGAAGGAAAGAAACTGTTCTTGTGTCTGGTAGTTTTGCCGACAGTATTGGGGAAAAAATAAGATACGTTAAATGACTAGTATGTGGCAATGTATAAGCCTTATGTAAAATATAAGGCTGAAAAAATACAATAGATTTTTTCTATTGTAGAGAGGAATGTTTATTTTCTCGTGTTACCGCCCCTACTCCTCTCCCAGCTTTGGGGGGGGGGCTCCCTGCACAGCGTTTCATTGCTTTGTTGCCAACCCCCCCTCGCCCGACCTCAGCTGCGACAACGGTCCTGTGCCGCCGAAGCGCCGCGAAACGGGGACCGCCTTCATTCGTCGCCCTTGTTATCCTGTTCTATAGGCCACATGGGCCGCTGAAGCGCTGCGCGCCGGCGCTCCAGCCCGCGCCGTGCAGCGATCATTTTGGCGTCTGCACTATTTTTTTCGCGAGCCGCGGGTGAAACGCGTGAGTTTGAAAAGACTGCTGAAGAAGAGCGGAGGAAATTTTCTGAGAATATTCCAGAATGTCTACCAGAAAAAGGCCAATGTTACTTGAGCCCCCTTCAGACAGGCCATGAAAAACGGAAATGTTCCGGACTCTGTCCGTAAGACCTTTGTGTCTGAATACAAACTTCCGGATAACGTGTTCCGGAATTTATCCGGACGAAGCCCCTAGTAACAGGTCCGGACTTGTTACGGACAGGGTGGCTGCTTCAGACTGGTGAGGTAAAGTTCTGGACAAGAGGGAGGGGGAGGAGGAGGGGACCGGGGGACGCTGTGCGCACCTATACAGCTCGCTGCTGTAGCATGCGGCGAACCACGGCAGCTCGCCTCCTACGGTACCGCCTAGACGCGCGATGGAGCGCTTCACACCGCTTCAGTGATTCCTTTAACCATTGAGCTTCATCATCCAGGTCTCCTATGCATCTTCGTGTGCGCAGAATTATGCTTAAGCGCCTCGTGATTTTTTATCTTGAGAGGCGCTATAGAAATGATATTTTCTTCTTCTTCTTCTTCTTAACATGAGTCCGATTCTCTCTCCCCCCACCACCCCCCGCCGCCGTCAGACATCTGGAACTTTTCCCTGCTGTGTGAACGCAGCCGAAAGGACAAGTTCCGGTACAAAAGTGGTGTGTCTGAAAACACAGTTCCGGTTAAAAACCGGATTGAATTGTCCGCAAATGTTCCAGAATGTCTATCTGAAAAGGGCTTTACTTACTGCCCTGCATGACTAAAGGGGAAGCAGCATGAGCTCTGCATAGAGCGTAATGCTGCGGCAGTTTTATTTTATTTTTTCAGGTTAACTTTTCAATACGAGGTCACGATGCACACAATAAACTTAGGAAGCATGTTGAGGGGAAACATACTTTTGTCATTGCTTATTTTACCGTTTAACTTACCACTGACACAACAAATATGCTTAAAACTGAAGACTTACCTCCTACTTCCTCATCACCGTCTCGTCTCTGCTCCGCTGCATGTGTGCTGTGACGGTGGCTTCACCCCCCGAGGAGTGGAGCCACACAACATGAGTTCATGAAGCTGGCGCCATCTGCTGGATAGGTAGCGCAATATTGGCCATATCGGCCGTCTTTTTGGCCGATAGCCGATAGAGTTAATGACCCCTATATCGGCCGGCCGATATATCGGTTGGGCCCTAAATTCACGATATATTGAGGATTTCACCTCGATAACGATGAATGAACAGTAACTACAGGTATGCGCAGAAACAAAGGTTGTCCACTAGATGGGGCTGTCACGTGTATTTCATCACATTTTTACGTGACTCAAGGTGGTACAGCTTCTTAAAGGGACATGAACGTTGCCAACCTGCTCACATCTTTTCATTTGTTTATTATCAAATTTATTGACGTGGGAAAGATGATCTCTAAGAATCACAAATTACGATATTGATAAATTTTCGATTTATTGCCCAGCCCAAGTGTCTCATTAATAATATACCTGTGTCACAGAAGGAAATTCAGATGAGCCACAGAGCTGCGTGTGATAACGGTGGTTCAAACTCCCGCTGGCTTTATGTGCCAAATGCAGGAAAGAGTGCTAGTAGATGCATGACTCTGCTGCAGCAGGCGTAAATCGGTGGTCTCCAGCTCTGCAGCTGTACTTTTCTCATCGGCCCAGCCGAGAAAGGTTTACGTCTGTCAGTGCATGTGTGTCTCTCGCTTGTAGAGCTCATGCAGATGCAGAAATTTCCGCGACGTATACTTTATTATTAGAGACAAAGACTTTTCTCAAGTAGCTGTTGCAAGTAGTTGAGCAAAATTGGTACCGGGTGGTGCTCCGGATCCACCTTTTGACTCTCACACCAACTGACAGATTCCATGTGTTGTCATACAACATCCTGGTAGATGAGGCACGAGCATTAAGGACAGACAAAACAACAGTCTGGTCAAAAGAGTTTAACAAGGAGTCCGGGCCTTCAACGGCCACAGGTGAAGTCGAAGGCATACTGGATGAGGGTGCCAAATGCTTCCTTGTAGTTGCGAGAGCAGGTCCTTCCTCTGAAGAAGATCCCAGGGGTCCCCGTCGAGGAGCTTGCAAATCATGGGGAACCAGGTCCTCCCTGGCAAAAATGGAGCAACCAGCAGCACCCTGTGACTGCTCTTCTCGATCCTGTGAAGTGTCAAGATCAGTAGCGGAAGAGAAGGGAAGGCATTCAGGAAACCTTCTGGCCATGGATGTGCTAGAGCATCCTGCCCCAATGGACTGTCTGATTCAGACAGAGAGAACCCCTGCAAGCACTGAGTCATCAATCTCAAGGCAAAGAGGTCCACCACTGCTGCACCATATCTCCGCCAGATCATTTAGACAATGAACGGGTTCCATTTCCACTTTTCTGGTGGAGGTTTCAGTCGGGAGAGTAGATCCACAGTGCAGTTCTGCACGCCAGACAGATGTGCCGCCTTGACACTCTGAAGGTGGGGCAAAACCCACAGAAGGAGTTTCCAAGCTTATATCAGTGAGTGAGTGGACCTGGTGCCCCCGATGATTTTTGTGGAAGACTTCAGATGTATTGTCCGACCGAACAAGGATATGTGTTCCTTCTGCAGCAGGCAGAAAATGATAGTCTCAGGAACGTTGCTAAGCTGAGTCCCATTCTGTCCCGCTCTGAACTTGAGACAGTTCTCCACACCTTCATCTCCTCACACTTAGACTACTGTAACTCTCTTTTCACGTGTCTGAGCAGAACCTCCCTGAACCGTCTACAGGTGGTTCAGAATGCCTGTGCTCGGCTTCTGACCAAGTCCTCCAAACACACCCACATCACCCCGCTTCTCCTCCAGCTTCATTGGCTGCCAGTCAACTTCAGGGTTCATTTCAAGATCCTGGTTCTGGTCTATAGGGCCTTACATGGACAAGCACCATCTTACATTGGTGATCTTCTTAGTCCCTACACCCCCAGCTGGTCCCTGAGGTCCAGTGATCAAAGCCTACTGGTTGTGCAGCACCAGGCTAAAGGTCAAAGGTGACAGATCATTTGCTGCTGTGGCCCCCAGACTCTGGACCTCTCTCCCCCTGAGCCTGAGATCAGTGGACTCAGTGGTCTCCTTTAAAAAGCAGCTGAAGACCCACCTGTTCAGGCTTTTGTATGACCTTCTTCACCCTCTCCTTATTCTGCTCTCCCCACCTATTCCACCTTCCTCAGGATCCACTGATTTCCCTCTTTCCTACTCACTCTCTCTCTTTCTTAACATTTTTAATCACAATTGTCTTTTTTTTGCTCATTTTAACTACATTTTTACCGTAATTTCCGGACTATAGAGCACACCTCAATATAAGCCACACCAGCAAAGAAAAAATGTTTTCTACACACACACGCATCATTTATAGTTTTTATTAACACTTCTGATTGATTAGATCTGATGTTGTTTGTGTGAATTAGACCTTTGACAGGGCGAGTTCACAGACCAGGTGTCAGATATGAGATTAATCGTCTCTGCTCACCCGTTAAGTTGAATCCTGCTGGATTCTGATCACCTGAAAATTTTTCTATTTTCCTCCACAGAAATATCTGCTTCTGCTTTTTCCTTTGAAGCATTTTAAAGTTTGAGTTAAATGAGTCTCATCTTGGTTTTCTCTTGTTTTGTTCCCAGTTGAGCTCTCTGGAGGTGCCCTCCGCCTGGAGGAAGGTGGATGTTCTGAGGGAGGCTCGAACCACACAGCTGAACTTTTTTGACAGCCTGGCCCAACGTCAGCTCATGGAGGAGGTGTTTTTCCTCAAGAGACTTCAGACCATCAGAGATTTCTTTAGAGTGTGTTCCACATTTGCTCAGACTCTGTCAGGTAGGTCCCAGCTGATCACCTCTCACTGGTTACATGTGTTTAAATCTGCAGCTTTGCTGGTTTGTTCTGATGAACTTTAAACTGTTTTCAGACAGATGAAATGTTTCAGATCCACTCCTGTAAATCAGAGGGATGCTAAGAGTTTCAGAGTCTGAAAGCGGTTTGAATCCTATCTTTTTGTCGCCCGTAGCAACGCGTTGAAATCTTGGTGGTTATTTCACAAAGACCATCACAATTGTTTGGGATTCTTGCTTGACCAATCAGAACTTGGCATCAGATTTTTGACTTGATGAGTCATGCAGAAGCCCACCCCTACCCTCCCCTTAGTGAAGGTGAAAATAAGAACAGGCCTTATGTCAGTAGCAGCCCCCACAAAGCCTGGGTCAGGACCCACCCTCTGGGTGGTTCTTTGCTCTGAATGTTCCAGGTTACTGTCGCTGCGGCCGACAGAGACCACGTGTGTAGCTGCAGCGTCACGTCTTCCTCACCAGCATGCGTGCAGCGGCAAAAGTGACTACGTTTACATGCAGCCAATATCCGGGTTATGATTGGGTTAAGGTCGGCATTCGGGTTTCTGAGTTGATCAGAATAACCCGTTTACAAGCATAAATAGAAAGAGTTACCTCTAACTTGCTTAACCCGATTTAAATGCGGACGTTGGGGTAGCGTCAGGAAGTTTGGACTATGTCAAGATGCAATATGTGTCATATTTCGCTGTCTCTACTTTCGGCCGTCAACAAAAGACATAATATTCATACTTTTCACCAGACCGATGAAGACAGAGGTTTCCTCGTCATTCTAAAAGTGTGGTGCTGTGCCGCGACTCGCCATATTGCTCCCAACATGTTGTTTACTTCCGGTGTTCTGGCGCATACAAGACGTCTCGCTACTCAAAAGACCAAGATTCCTTGCGAACAGAGCATGCGCAGAACACATGCTTTGATGGGGATATCCCGATATGCGTTTACACAACCAAACATTCAGGTTAGAAAAGGGTTACCCCAGGTGTAGTAACCGGGTTATGAGCATATCCGGGTTTTTGGCGGTGTTTACATGGACCTGCGGAACCGGGTTATTGTGAATATTCGGGTTTTAAAAGGGTTACTGGCTGCATGTAAACGCACTCAGTGTTGCTATCACTCCTTCTGTGAGTGATGCAAGCATGCCGGGGGAAGTGCGTTAAAATGTTTTAACACAGCAGATTTAAAAGAACTTAAAAAAGCAAACTGCTTGGAGTGAGGAGCGTTTTTGTTACTAAGCTGCAGAAATAGAGACAGTTGGAGCAGTCAACAGCTAAGCCTGATTTATGCTTCTCCGTCTGCGTCAGTGCGGAGACACGCAACGCCATTATCCGTCCTTGCGTAGGGCTCCAGCAGGCACGCAAGTACGTACGGAGTCGAGCCCACTTTTTTAAACATCCGTCGAATGAGACGGATTACGCAAGCTTGTGATTGGTCAGGACGCCGCTGTTGTTTACAGCGCCGCCATTGCAAAGAGAGCCGAGGATAACTAGCGACAGACACGGAGAAGCTTGAAGAATACCTCGCGAAAAAACTCTAAAAACATGAACGTTTAATTCTCCCGTGACTGGAGGAGTGAAAAGATATCCAGCAAGCGTTTTATTTGTGGACGGAAATGACAGGAAACGTGGGTTTAGAGGTGGCGAGCGCATTATGAGGTGGGAGAATGAGAGACAAATATGTCCGTGTTAAAGTCTCATATACACAAAAAACACAATATAAACACACTATCTTGGACCGATACATGACAGGATACCACAGAACAGCTCTACGCCCTCTGTGGTCCTGCCGGGCAATTGCTGTGCAACACTCTCCAGGAGACGGAGAAGTATGAGAGCAAAATGCTTCCGTCAATCTGTGCGTGTCTGTCCCTTGCGGAGCTGACGGAGAAGCATAAACCAGGCTTAAGATGCAGCAACACTAATGTAGGGTTACGTTATGTAAACCCCGGTTCTTTGATAACAGAGTGAGGTGTTTCACTACGGGAATCGCCCTGGTGTGACCAACTACAGAAGATCCAATGAGACCGGTTGTGCCCACCCAGTATGTACACGGCCAACCAACCCCTCCTACTCATTCGGACGATTTCTTACCGTTAATGCAAGAAGGTAATTGTTAGTGAAACACCTCACTCTGTTATCAAAGAACCGGGGTTTACATAACGTAACCCTACGTTCTTTTTCTAACTTCGTTCGGTGTTTCACTTTGGGAGATATGGCCCACTCCCGGATTGCATGTCCATCCCGAAGCGAGCAGCAGCAAAATTCAGCTTAACCACTAAGCAGATGCTGTGCATCCTGCCTCCAGCACTGAATGCGCCAGTGAAGGTTGAGACACATCCAGCCTGTAAAACCGCTCAAAAGTTTGCGGTGTGGCCCAGCTAGCTGCTGCACAAATATCCTGGATTGACACAACACGAAACAGGGCCCAAGATGTGGCCATGCTCCTTGTAGATTGAGCCCTCACTCCCTCAGGGGGTTCAGCACCCTTGCACCTATATGAAAGGCTGATTGCTTCTACAATCCAGTGTGCCAGTCTCTGGCGAGACACAGGCTTGCCCCTTATGGGCCGTGGCCCAAGAAACAAACAACTGCTCTGATTTTCTGAGACCAGCAGTGCTGTCCATATAAACCTTTAAAGCTCGAACAGGGCAGAGACAATGAAGCTTCTGCTCTTCTGCTGAGGAAAAAGGAGGTAGGTGAAAAGCCAGCAGCTCCACAGGAGAGCAGCTATGAGACGACTCCATTACTTTCGGCACAAAAGCTGGACTGAGCCGCAGACACGCTTTAGTGTAGCCAGGGGCCCACCGTATACACGAGGGACTGACTGGCCATGCCTGAAGTTCACTCACTCTCTTTGCTGTAGTTAAAGCTAAGAGCAGTGCAGTTTGTAAAGAGAGAAATTTCAATCCAGCCCCATCTACCGGTTCAAAAGGATGATGGGCCTCCAGAACAAGAGAGAGGTCCCACAGTGGTACCAGTGGCCTAAAGACCGGTAGCTTACAGCGAGTACCCTTCATGAAGTGACTCACTAACGGGTGTTGCCCCACTGGTTTGTCACCAAACCCCACATGGCATGCAGAAATTGCAGCCAGAGAAACCTTAATAGTAGAGAAAGCTTTACTCTTGTCTATCAGACTCTGCAAAAACAGAGTACATCCACCACAGAGCACTGAAATGGGATAACATGTTTTTCTTCAAGCCACACCACAAAAACCCTTCATTTACAGCTGTAAAGAGAGCGAGTTGAGGGGGCCCTAGAGTTTTGAATGGTGTCAATGACACTTGGGGGCAGGCCTGCCACGCTCAGATTCCACCTCTCACAGGCCAGGCTCACAGAGACAAGCGGTCTGGATGAGGGTGATAAATCTCTCCCCTGGCTTGGGACAGGAGATCCCTGCAGACAGGCAGGGGCCACGGTCTGTCCCAAAGCATCTGGATTATTTCTGCCACCCACGTCTTGGATGGCCACAATGGAGCCACCAAGATCATATGGACAGGCCCTGTTCCCTTACTCTTATTGGAATGGAGGAAATCAGACTGAGAGGAGGAAATGCATACAGCAGCACTCTCGGCCACTGGTGAGCCAATGCGTCGACTCCCAGAGGCGCATCCGCGTCTGTCAGGGAGAAGAAGAGTGGACCGTGGGCGCTTTCCCATGAGGCAAAGTGTTGCGCGGACTGAGAGGAGTCTGGAGCTGCAACACACAGTTATTTCCTTGGCTAGTGAGTGCAGCTGTAGAGAGCGTGTCCCGCCCTGACGGTTGATATAAGCTACCACTGTGGTGTTGTCTGTCTTCACTAAGACATGACGGTCCCTTAAGTAGGGCAGGAAGTGCTTTAAAGCTAGAAACACTGCTAGGAGTTCCAGCACATCTATGTGAACCCGTTTCAAACTGCGTGACCAAACACCGTTCACTACTTTCCCCATCAAGGTGGCCCCCAACCTGTAAGTCGTCATGGTAACTCTGGACACCACCGCTCCTAGCTGAACCCCAATTGTGAGAACTGCTCAGTCTCTCTAAGGATGGAGAGCCGGCATGCACGCCGGAGTTATTTTCACTCTGCGGTGGAGATGACGGCGGGAGCACAGTCTTAACGACCTCACCCACCGCTGAACATCTCCCATCATAAGAAGCCCCAGTCGCACCACAGAAATCATCGATGCCATGAGGCCGAGAAGGCGCATGCAAAGTCTGTACGATGCATGGATTCCTAGCTGAAAATGTGCGACACACTGTGTGAAGGACGCGATCCTCTCTTCTGACAGCGAAATGCGATAAGAGAGCGAGTTTATCTGAAGACCCAGATATTCTGTGCACTGTCTGGGGAATAAACTGCTCAGTTTATTTTGAACCCCAGGTCGGTCAGATGGTTCAACACCACCAGCGCATCGCTGGCTGCTTGCTCCCGGGAGGGAGTGCAAATCAGATAATCGTCTATGTAAGAGAAAATTCTGATCCCATGAGTCCTCAGTGAGGAAAGCGCCGCCTCCACACACTTGGTGAACACCCTCGGTGCTAATGAGAGCCCGAGCGGGTTGGTTTGAAACTTGTAGGCTGTTCCCTGATAGGCAAACCTGAGAAATGTCCTCTGTGGAGGATAAATAGAGATTTGAAAATAGGCATCGAGATCGATTGTGACAAACCAATCTCCTGGGCAGACAGAACAGCAGAGTGTTATGTGAGTCAACATTCTCGAAGTGTACTTGCGTAAGTGTTTGTTTAAACCGCGCAGGTTGAGAATGGGACGGAGAGATTTCCTGTACTTCTTTGGAATGAGGAAGTAGCGCGAATAAAACCCCTGGCGGGCCTCGTCTGCTGGGCGCAGAGGGACCTGATGGGGTTTGTTTGTGATTTTTTGTGGGGAGCCGTCTGCCCTTGGCTGAATGCCTGGCTGCAGAAAGGCTGTCTTTATTGTTAAACGATCCCCATGAACATGTTTGCACACATTTGGGAACAAAGGGCTCGGTGACACTGACT